TCCCCGTTCCCCGTTCTTCGTTTTAGTAACATACACTTGTGCAGTTATACAATACGGTTGAAATAATAGTAACCATCGTTCAGTTTTATCTGTGTTACTTTGAAAGAAATAAGTGTTAACTTCTAAGAATAGATAAATTCAACTTTTTGACGAAAGACGATTTCTTAGGCTGTTTAATAAACGAATCATTACGCCAATTTTTTAGAGTTGGTGCGAAGTGAGACCAAGCTCAAATGCGACCCTACTCTGGCCTCAGTATTGAATCTTGTAGGGGGAAATAAATTTTTCGTCTTCTAATCTGTTTGCATTTTTTGGTATGATGACAAAAACCTCTTTAGTAGAATTTGTAAGTGATGCTATCTTTTTTTTTGGAAATTCTACAAAATGGCCTTTTAGCTTTAGAGGTTTTCTTGAACTTTGTTATTTGGCACTCTCGAATTCTCGCCGGCCCCAAAGTTTTAACTCAAAAGAAATATTAACTGCGATTTTTTGCTTGCATTTCAGGTTATCTTTATCTGGTTCTGCGTGGATTGGACAGGAATCTCTTATGCTGGTTATCAGTATCCACCTTGGGCAGAGTTCCTGGGATGGATGTTGTGCATAGTATCAATACTTTGTGTCCCTGGTTACGCCATTTATCGTTACAAGAAACTGCCTGAGGGTGGCACCTTTAAGGAGGTAACAACTTCACATTTGCTTATCATTTTTAAGGATGTTTACGGCAGCGTTCTAACAACGCTATGAAAGGGAATCCAAGACAGTCTTGGATTCTGGATTCCACCCCGTGGATTTCGGATTCCACTAGTGGATTCTGGGTTCCAATCGTTAGTGGGATTCCGGATTCCAAAGTCCAGGATACGGATCCGGATTCCCTTACATCGCGCGCATAATTGCAGTCGCCAAGTGAAAAAAAATGTGCATACAAGTTTTGTTTAGAAAGCGCAATGCCAAGAAAGTACGAATGAGAACTCGGTTAACTGTAAAAGGCTTTGTATAGGTTATTTCATTAAGGCAATACGATCATAATTATCATAAACAGCAACTTTAATCGTCGCAGTCTGATAATATTTCTTAGATGTTAATCATTGTTTCCTTTCATATAAATAGGACAGCTTGAGTAGCTTGGTTAATTTCAGGGGCACCCAACGAGAATATAGTTCAAAGCAACTTAAACATAGCATTGTTAAACGTTTTTTGGTATTCAAACGGTAGATATAGGCATATTTTTATCCCCTAAAAATTTTTCATCTGTTCGGATTCCCTAGCTGAAAGTCTATTGATCCGAAAATTATAGGGATCAAAACTTACCTTTTCGAAAACTTCAGCCAGAAAAAAGGCTCCCGAAAACTCTAGGTGACCTTTTTATGGTAAAAATCCTTTAAAAATGGGCAATTATACCATTTTTTAGATGTTCGAAAATCCTAGGAGAGGCAGGCATGCAAGAAATTTTACAACAAATGTTCCGAAAATTCTAGATCTCAAATCGTCTTCCGAACAGATATTTTCCAAAAATTGACGTTGGGTGCCCCTGTAATTTGTTTTTATTCATTTTTTCTCACCATAAATATCTATTTCTTTATTTCTTCAGCGTTTCCGCGCAATCCTTCTTCCAGATGAGCGTGTTATGAGCAAAATCCGACAAAAATACGGACTTCCAGAAAAAAGGTAAGATAATGTGATCTTCTTAATTTGGTATGCATTAAAAACGAAAGCCAAACGTGATAGATTGAACCTTGAGAGTGGGCGGTTATTAATTTTTCACAGATATAAGTGATTGTAATAGCCTGCGTAGCAGGCGCTTGTAGTGGGCGAACGAGAGAACGGGCGCGCGCGTGAGGGAGACACGCGAGGGGTGATTTACTTCTCGCGTGCCCTTTTTTTCTTGTGCCCACTACTTCCAAGCGCCTGCTACGCAGGCTACGATTGTAATTACATTTTTCAACAAACGTGAAGATGCTCCAAAGCAGATTTTAACTGTTAATTGAATGTTTCTTTAAAATACTAAGAAAACTCGGTCTTCAGGTTTTTTCAACTTTTAACATGGACCAGTTAAGGTACGGAAAACGGGCAACAAAAAACGTGCAACTTGTCTCGCAACATTGCTGCAAAACGAGTTGAATAGCGATGTTACGCGTTTTACCACCCACATCAAACCTGTCTTGCAACAAATCAGATTGTAAACAGGTTTGAACATGGGTGGTAAAACGCGTAACATTCCGTAGCTATTCAACTCGTTTTGCAGCGATGTTGCAAGACAAGTTGCACGTTTTTGCTGCCTGTTTTTCCGTACCTTTAGGGAAAATACGTCGACACCACTGAAAAGAGTGCTTTAAAGTTAGTTAAAATGCCAAGTTTGAAAGTGATTTGTTAAAAACTAACGAAGATGTGACTTCTCAAAGTCGCGAAATTTTACAGACGTTTGAATGGTCAGGGGCACAAACTTGCCTCCCACCCCCCGCCCCCACCATGCATATACATGTACAAACGTCTGTAAGTTTTCGCACCTTTGCGGAGCAATATCTTCCCTCGCTTAGGACGTTTCACTTTCAAATTTGGCAAGGCTCTCTTTCCCGTGCTGTCGACAGATTTTCCCTAACTGCTCCTTGTCAAAAGTTGAAAAAAAACCTGGAAGGGTCTATTTCAATCTCATTGTCAGTATTGTTAATTCTTTTAGTGGGGGGTTGGTAGGGGGTGGGCGCTTAATTGCATAAATACAGTATTTCACTTTTGAAGGTTGGTAAGTTAGCCTAGTTTATTCTAATCCGTAACGTGTCTTTTTCATTGCAGGGCTCATTACTATGATGAATGATCAACTCAGTATCACAATTTACTGTCGCTGCTAAGTCTTTCAACCATATAGTTGCCTACTAAACAATGCTAGATTAGTTAATGATAAATGGGGATTCCTCCTCAGTTTAGTGAAAAGGTTCAGCCATTTTCTTACTAAAGAGATGCTTTGTTCCGCAGGATTTAAGTGCTTTACGCATCCACAATGTTGGTGATGGGACTTATTAAAACATTTTCTACTCTCGTTTCTAGTCAATAGACTTAAGAGATGGGAAGACCTTCCGAAAGAAGCCTTTTCTTGGGGCGGAGAAGTATGGGTTTCTCTCGCCCCATGAGGTTCCACTCTAACCTAACCCTCGCGGAAATAACTCTTGTATGACTAGTGACGATGCAAAATGTATTTTTAGAGAGAATAAAGGGTAAAAAGAGATTATTTCCATTATAGACCCTATTTACTAGGTAATCCTTCTCAATTAGTTTAATTTTTAGTGACAGAAAGGCAAGACATTTGAATTAAGTTTTTTTAAAGTTTTAATCCAATAATTAGCCCAAATTTTTCATCCAGCGTAAAGTATTAACTCGTCTTTCCTGCCGTTTTGTTGTGAAAAACAATAAGAGAAGGAATAAAGCCTATACAGTCCAACGCGGTCAAACGGCTTAGGCAATTTCCGTTTAATTTAACTTGTATTTAGTGGGTTATCGTTCGCCATGAAATGGAAAAATGGGAAAGGAATTTTAAAATAATTGTAAAATATTAGTTATTGCAATTATCTTTGTATTTTTTGTCAAAATAATCAGCTTCCTCTTTTTGAAAACCCTTCGCGCCAGAGGAAAATTACGTTGTCGGACACATGGCACCCCCAATAACTCCAGTTATAGTTGTTAAGCACTTAGAACTTTTTAAGTACGACTCCGTGAAAAAGAGTGGTAAATTATGTAATTATAGTGTATTGGTAATGTCTTAAACTGTAAACAGTGCAAGTAATGACCCCAACTTAAAATATCTTTGGTTAGCTTTTGATTTCTATCCGTTTGATCAAGGAGAACCTAAATAGGGATCTACTCTCTAATACCCTTGATGCTCTCTAGTAAATGCACACCCATGTAAGATAATCAAATCCAAGACAGTCTTGGGTGCTGGACTCCACGCTGTGAATTCCGGATCTCAGGCACTGGGTTCCAGATTCCTTCTACGTGGAGCTTGGATTCCGGATTCCACAAGAAAAAAATCCCGGATTGCGGAATCCGGAGTACCAAGCCATTGGGCGAGGTTTCGTTTCAGTGATATATCTCACTTTCAATTATTTACTCTTGAGTGACTTTGAATAATAATAGCCTTTGAAATGAAAGCTGGTAAGCGATAATTTCTGGTAGTACATGTATTGTATGTTTCTGTTGTTTAAAATTTAAGGGGAGCGAAATAAAGACTGAAAGAAGATACTTATCTTTTTAATTAATGATCCATTATGTTACTGCCCTAAAACTGACCTAGAGACGCATGCAAGTATCTAGGAATATGAGCAAATCCGTGATGTATGACATCAATTAATGATCAATAGATAATCAACCAGTAATCATGATCAGGGAATTTATGTAGCGAAGCACTTTGCATTGTGGGGTAACGGCCTTGCAGGGCAGCTAGTTCTGGATTTTTTTTGGTGGGGGCGAGGGCATGCGTTCTTAGACCCTCATCGTGTTTCCGACTAAAATATATTTTCCCTACCTGTTTCAGAACTTAACCAGAGTTTTCACGGGCTTCCTCAAGATAGAAATTATGATTAAAAAACAAACAAAAACAACAAAACAAGCCCATCCAGACCCACCCAAGAGAGAAAAAACCATGCCCTGTTTCAGACACTGATGATTAAAATCGAAAGCCGCACTCAGACCAAAGTGGGTCAAACCCATTCTCTAGCGCACTGCCCACGTACCTTTATGGGTAACATCAAAGAGTACACTCGCGGGGAAATGACTATGGCTTATTTTGGGCTAGACAAAAAATCCATTACAAGTAGAGGGCTTCAGCTGTTTTAATCGCGTCATATGTACAGATGGGATGGACGATCAGACGCACTTAGCTATCTCTCCTTTCAGATGTACAAATTAAAGCAGATAGGTTGTCTTACAATTCATATAACAGCTACCTTTTGTGTAAATGATCTTTTATTCTCCACCTCAAAATCAAGTTGAATCACTTCCTTACTATTTTCGCTTTTTTCTCGTGACATTACAACTTTTATTGCAACGTGACTTCTATCACTTAGTTCAAGCAATAAACGCAATTCGTAAACATTCTTTCCCGAGAGACATAGGCTTTGCAGAAAATGAGACTTAAGTGGGCATGAGTCTTTGAAATTTCCGAAAAGGCTTAACCTTTTATAAGTCTTCTCTGTCCTCGATTTACAACCTGAGGAGTTGGGGTGGGGTATCATTCATGGACGCAAGTCTTAAACTTAATGCCCACTTTCTGATTCATCACTATTCATCACTATTGAACTGTGTTTATTTGACAATTTTTTTGCGTATTTATCTTTCTAGCGGTCATGTTTTTCTTACATACTTTCAGAAGACTACGTCACTTGCTGTGAACTGTAAACCAATTCTCAACATTCACATGAGGGAGCTCAAGCAATTAGGCTTTTTTGAGTGACGCACGACGACCAGAAGTGGACTTTTTGCATTCTTGAGAAGTGTTTTTTGGCCAAACTGTCTCTACTATAGGAGTGAAGACACTCGGCAATACAAATTTGGTAACATCGAGGCATATTTAAAGAGAAAAGTCCTTACTTCCGGTTGACGTACGTCGCTCAAAAACGTCTTTATGAAATTTTACTGCTGAAATAAACACGTCTTTTGCAGACCACAATAAATGCTCACAGAAAACCTTGGAATGATACTTAATTTCAGAGAGGAAGAATTACAACATGACAGAAAAAGAAATCATATCTCAAAAGGTTATGTCCATCCCAATTTGAGTGATATTTAGGTTAATGCCTTCCTTTGAAACCCGTTGGTCGTAACTTCATTTCAGCTCGTGACGCGGAGTAATAAAGCCCTCCCCAGGTCTTCCAGTTCACGCCGTCAGCATAGGTTGTCTGCTGTCTGTGATAATATACACCATTCAGATTTGAAGAAAAGCACGCATTATACCACCAAGCTCCTTTATAGAACTGTGCGCAATTTCCGTCAGTGGATTTGTCATGATCCCGGTCACGTGTCGTGAACTGCATTCCACTGTGCCAGGTTAGGGAATCTCCTGCGGTTCCTAGTGAAGGGAAATTCTCACAGTGTAAATTTGTTCCCGTATTTTTACACTGGTAATAGTAAAAAATATAAATTAAAGAACCTCCTATAACGAAAGCTCCTTATAGCAAACAAATTTTGTCAGTCCTCGTAATTGGCCATTAGTTATATCGAGGTTCCACTGTACAGTACAGCAGTTAATCTTGACTTGGGTTATTAGAAGGGAGGCTTATCACAGGCTGAGGCCTAAATACCGTCTCAATATCCCCACTCGACCAGTTTCCGACCAACTTATTTTAACTAGTTCATCGCGTTTTTATCCCCCCTCCCCGCCACCTCCTTCCCTTAGGGGAGGGCTTACGCCTTGACACCCAAGTGTTGAAACTTGTTGGAAGTCCCGTAAGTGGGTGACACTTTTTGATCTTATCGATCATTTAGCTATTTGGAGATATTCAAGTAACAATGACGTCAATCAAGAAATAATTCTTAACTTAAGATTTTTCAACAATATATCTATTCAATATAGATTCTTCACTTCACTTAAGACTAGAGCAGCGTTCGGGATGCGTCATGGGTGTGACTTTTTTTACTATGACTTTTAATTAAACAATCTGAAGTAAGTGAATAGTGCTGTGGTATCTACATTTCCAACAAGCTGAAATTCTTATTTAGCAGGGGGAATATGTTAACTGACAACCGCTATTTAATAGCGGTTAGAACTCAAACTAGGCGGCTAGACGCTCATTTGATACTGGCTGCTAAATATAGGAAATACATTAGGTATGACATACGGCATTTGCACAATGACGTCTTTTTACTTAATTTCGTTTCTTCTCTCATATTTTAATTTGGTAATCCCATTGAGGTTTAATTAAATAACAATAGCCCTAATTTGCCCAAGAAAGCAATACCTCGAATGATTCTGGTGGTGGTGGTGGTGGTGGTGGTAGTAGTAGTAGTAGTAGTAGTAGTTAAGTAGCTATATAGTAGCAGTTGTTGTTGAAGTAAAATGACGCCATCGTGCAAATGGCCAATTTACCGAGTAATGAATAACTCACCTGTATAAGAGCCTAATCCTAAAGTGTAATTGCGCTTTTCGTTAGAGACCACAAAGTCCATGTAGAGAGCATGCGCAGATTGTAGCATCTTGCCGCTCAAGTCGACTCGCAGCACCATCCGTCCCTGATTGGTCAGACGGTGAATGTTGTCCAGTCCCAGCCAATATTCACCTCCAGCCGTACCAAACCCTTCTTTGTAGTCTTGCCACTCACGGTAAAAATCAACCGAACCGTCCAGCCTCCTCTGGAAAACGGTCCAGCCCCCACCGTCTGTGGTCTGTTAAGGCAGGAGGAGACAAAAACAATTCAATTAATTTGACATTAAAAGGACTATGCATTGACCAATGGCGACGATCTCCTGGACAAAAGTGCTCTTCTTTGACCGACCTGATCACAGTACACTTCAACTGCTCCCTCGCCGTCTGGATCGATGGTGTAAATACCGTTTCTATGACGACCAGACTTGTAAACGTCAGCACAATCGCCAGGAACTATAAAGTAAAGAAAAATAATAAAGGCTTAAATTAATGGCTATGGCAATTATTTCATGGCCAACTTTCAATTTTAAGGAAAACTAAATAGTTTGAAATAATATAATCTTCGTGCTTGCATTGAAATGTAGATATCATATAGGGTGTAGTCGGTTCAGAAAGACAGGGAAATGGCCGCAACCAGTGCTCCTGTGCAAATAATAGGGAACTTTAGCAATTGCGACAAAGACAGCAACGAGAAGGTCAAAAAGTAATAGGTTTGATCGGCAAAACTACAACTCTGCACGCCGCGCAGCACACTTTTTTTGTTCGTTTCCTTGCCTTCACTGCACCACTACGACATGAAGTTCCCTCAAGCAACTTTTTATGGAGGACCTAAACACAAGATGACAAGTTTCTCTTTCTCTCTCTAAACTTGGGTGCGGTCCAAAAGAATTCAATCCTAAGGAAATTCACCTACATTTGAGATTTTACGAGACTTGGAATAACCGCAACAAAATTTGAGAAAAAGCGAAGTCTTTTTAGTGACGTTTTTGCTGCTGTCGCCGTTGCTAAAGCTCACTGAGCGTCTGCATGCATACTGAGCGGTTTATCGTTCGTATCGGGCAGTTTTAGGTTGCGATCGAGACTGGTTCAGTATTGTGTTGAACTGCACCATGGGATATATGAATTATGTAGAAGGGTAGGGAAATCTGTCATTTTTGTCTGTAAAAGGGCCCAAAAGGGCTAACAGATGAATTTTGTTGCTTATAAGGTCGAGAAAGCGCTCTATTTTTGTGATTAATTCTTATTTAAAAGACAGTGCATTTACAGCAGTTAAAAGGGATGCAAAGTTCTAGACATGATATGTGAACGGGATACCATTTGTCAAAAGAAGGTATACAGGGGTACCTATTTCGTGAAAAGTGGTATATAAAAGGGTAAGGGGTTAGATCCCTGGGCGAAGCCTCCCTGTATAAACATTTGTTGGGTACCCCTCCCCCCCTCCCCCTCCCGACCCAAGTGACCCTCCAGGGGTGGCCCTCAGCAGTTCAGCTTATCTAGAACAATCAGGCTGCCTTGCAAACGACGAGAAGTGTTTTTTATTTATATTGGCTCAAGTGTCCGCAGGTATTAATAAGCTTTCCTTAATGAGCTTTAAGAGGTTAATCTTAAAGTGATGATTGTAATAAGTCGCAATTAATATTGGTTATGTTATATATGTACGTGCTCACTGAAATGATTGGTCGAGTGTCTTTCGTGACTCAGTGACTTGATTTTAGATCCTTAAAGCTACGATTGTGATTTGGTAAATCGATGTTGTGGATAAATAAATCAGGTAGAAACAACATGATGTTATTGAAACTGATAAGGACTGAAAACATTGTGAAAATCGCTCCTTTCGTTTTTTTTTTTTTTTGGACCAAATGTTTGGCAGAAGAAAAATGAAAAGAATGACTTTAAAAAAAGCGTAATCTGTTCGGGGCAAGCATACCTCTCACACTGCACTTTTGTTTAGATACAAGTAATCCTCTTTATGTTTGCGATAAACATACCTTTCTGTGGTTCTCCATTGCATTCTATGTCACTAACTTTCCTGCTCAACACAGCTATTCTCTGTTCTTGCTCGTCGATTTTGTCATTCAGCTCACCCACCATTGAGATGATAGAATCGAGTTTGTTTCTCAATTCACTGTCAGTGAGAGATGTGGCGCGAGGATGTCGCTTCTTTCTCTCGTAATGATCCGCTGTTTTGGCAAATAACACGAGGAGTAATCCCAAAAAGATTCTCAGCAAGAATAATCGCGCCATCTTGGCAGACCAAGTGGAATGTCAATGAGCCGAAATGATAGCGTGACAAGAGTTTAGGTTTTCGTTGTTCTCAATGAAACATAACACCTATGTAGAACACAGGGTCACTGATATTTAAAAGACGCTTAGAACATTCATTCCATATTTTGATAAAAAGCAGCAGGGTTCTTCGCCAGAAAATAAACAGGCACACCAAAAGTCACGCAACTTGCAACGGCACTTCGTTAAAAGGTAGTGTTCAACCATAGGATCAATCAATGAAGACTGAGTTCTGGAGGCCTAAACACCCTGCTAAAGCTTGTGCCACTTCATGTAAGGTAATCCAAGACAGTCTTGGATTTGGATTCCACGCTGTGGATTCTGGATTCCAGGCACCAGTTTTTCCGGGGTCTTTGTCAGTGGAACGTGGATTCTGGATTACAATCGTTAGTGGGATTCCGGATTCCAGAGTTCCCAACTCAAATCTCCCCGGATTCTGGGTTCCAGAAGCAAAATTTTCCGGGATTCTGGGATTCGGTTTCCCTAACGTGGGGCGAATTGAAACTTATAATTAGGTCCCCAAAACTCAACGGTCAAGCCAAGAAGGGGACACCCCTGGGACCAAGGCAAGTGCTCCCTTAATAGAGGTGCTCTTTGAATAGAGGTTGGGCCGGGGTTTGGTAATAATTAACCAACATAAAATATTTTTCTTTTATTCTGCATAGGAATCTGCTGTAATCATTCAAGCAGCTAAACAATATAAATACATAAAACAATCATTATTTAACTCCTGAAACCACAAGTTTAGTACGTCGATTTTAGTGAGATATTTCATGTTTTGAAAACTGTAGCCATTTTGACTAAAGAACAATGAAACTTATCAACCCTTTTTGTGGTCAGACACGGTTGGAGTACTAAGGTGTCCCCCGAAAGAAAGTTAACACTGGCTTTCGGGACCCAGAAAAAGAGTCCCTTTCTCCTGAATAGAGGTGTCCCGTCAATATAGAGTTAACAAATACAAAGGTTATATATATGAACATTTTTTCCGGGGCCAAATTTTCTGTCCCCTGAATGGAGGTGTCCCATGAATAGAAGTGTCCCACTGTATGAACTTTCATGATAACCACTTTCGTCAGTCCCAAAAAACTCTTTACCAAAATCTTCCATCCGAATAAAAAGTTAGCGCCTAACTTTCTTACACAGGAAGTTCTTGGATCGCACATAACTAGCCAAATGCTGCCCCATCTCCCGCGATTCCCTGAGAAACGTTTTGCTGATCAGTAAATCATGGAATCCCTCGTGGCTTGGATCCCTCCAAGGGAGGGATTCCGGATTCCGGAATCCGAGAGATTTTTACTTGTGAAAACTGGAATGAGGAATCCACGGCCTGAAATCCAGATTCCAAGACTGTTTTGGTTTTCCTTACAAGGGGCGACTTAGAAATCCCCGTAAGAGACCATGAAGATTTTGTGGTTTCTTAGGGGAGGTTGACTTTGATTCGTTACTCTGATATTTTAAGTCAGAGATTTAACCCCTTCTGTGCCCCTAACTGAAATACAACGACAGTGTTTAGAATATTCTCCTTTCCCGTCAATACACATGTATTCCATTCCATCAGGACCGAGGCATTTAAAAATCTATGCCAGGTCGTCAGTTCTAATTGATGTCTTAAATCCGCTTCAATAAATTAAATACCGCTATTTTACAATTACAATAATAGTTTTTTTAGTTGCACTATATTTATAATGTATCTTACACTTAAGGGACTAAATGACTAAGTCAATATTTTAGTTTTCTTTAATATTGTACTAATTACGATAATGTTATCTTTTTATTTTACATCATTTACTTTTCAAAAACATGTCAAATCTAGGACTGCAGATTTCTTTTCATTTTTCTTCCTAGACTATTAATTTTTTAGAAGAGATGTAAAGACAAAATTCGCGTTCTCCGCCCCTCAGGGACTATGACCCTAAGTTAAGTTTTTCCGTCAGTGTCATTCACTGTCACCTTTTTGGATGCAATAGCGACCTTAGATGTCCTCAGAGGAAGCAATGATGAAGTAAAACTTGCCGAAACTCGAACTGTTCATTTTCGAAGTCTTTTAATCGTCGCTTCGTTTTGATAGAATAAACAAACTCGACCGCGATTACTCCTAATGCCAAAATTTATCTCCCCCCCCCCCCCCCCTTTATATACTCATCTCACTTTAGTTCATAACCTACACTTCACACCGTTAAAAAAAGGGCGAAACGGGGATATGCATTCTTTCTCCTATATGCCTTACCCACCCTTTTCTAACTTCTCTCCCTCCTCTCCCCACATCCTCTTAGTTTCTTCTACTGTACTCCAAGGAAGAAATGATTGAAGAAAAGTTGCCGAAACATGAACTTTTTATTTTCGAAGTCTTTTAATTGTCGTTTCGTTTTGAAAGAAAAAACAAACCCGACCCCGATTACTCCCAATGCCAAAATTTTTCTCCCCCCCCCCCCCGGAAATAAAACGTGACATTGCTTTTACCCCATTAATCCTAAACCGCGTGCAAAGATGGCGGGTATCGTGAATAAGGTCTATTATTCCCCCTCCCCCTCCCCTAGCTCTCCCTCCCCCCTCCCCCCTACCCCCTTCAGAACGGTTTCAATTTGTCGAGTTCCCTTTGTAACCTTCCCGCCATCTCCATCGCAGCGCGCGCAGTCGCTCCTCGGTCTTTTCAAAATCGTGGAAACCAAAATTGTCGAGAATTTCGTAAACACCAGCTGCTGTTGCAACTTCCATCATCCACTGGCTAAAAGATCGCTGCCATTTTGTTCTCCTCTCCATGTGAAGATAAGTGTTAAACAGGATAAGGTAAAAATATCTTTCCAAATAGTACAGGCTTCTTTTACGTAGCTCAAGACACTTTTCACGGCTTGCGCAACAACTGCTCCGGTACTGTTAAAACAAAAAAACAACTATAATTCAGCAGTGTAATAGGAAGAAAAGGTGAAAGAATCACAAAAAAATAGGTACAGAAAGATCCGACGTGGGCAGGTGGCATAGGACGCTATCTATCAGGGATGGTTGAGCAAGTGCTGCTCCGTTACTGTTTACATAATAATTACGCAGAAAAACAAGACAAAAAGTTGACCATAACGCATATTAAAAAGGCAGGTCATTTACAGAAGTTAAAAGAGATGCATTGTTCTAAACTAGGTATGTGAAAGGGGTACCATTTGTCAGTAGAAGCGGTATACGAAGGAAGTACCTTTACTGTCAAAAAGGGTAAGAGGTTGGACCTCGGAGCCGAGCCTCCCCGACAATGACTAAAGGGTTATATGAAAAGCTTTATTCACTCACCAAGTTAAAAGTGGAGAAGATTACTTCTCTCGGATGGTAATGCATCGGTGTCATGGTTTCTGAGATTCTGTCCAGAACATAATCAACCTCTCGTTTCCTTTGAGGACCACTTGGCAAAACCCGTTTGAGGTGACGAATAACCTGAAGAAATATTAGCAAAAAAAACATTTTTCGCCTCTGCTGAGGTCAGCAGCCTAACCTCTTAAGCTTTTTTCAACTTTTCTATGATTCAACTTCGTTTCCAGGCTTTTTTCTTCTCCCTGGAGGGACAGAGCCCTGGAAGTAGATAGACCGGGCTGGGAACGAGCTCGGTTGTTTTTAATTTTAGCCTGAATAGGCATTTGCAAGATGACGTCATTTTACTACTATGACCAGAATCCTTCATTTTTTTTTCTTGTTCAAATTAGGACTTTTGTTCTTTAAACCTGGCTGGGATAACCAAATTTACATTATGAAAGGAGAAACGAATAGGATTCTGGTCTTCGTAGAAAAGTGACTCCATGGTGCAAATGGCCTATTGACCTCGCAATAAAAAAAGAGGAACAGAGACACAATCGTCTCTCCCCGACTGCTTTTTAGGGGAGGGGGCGTCTGTACCCAAGGTTACCTATATATATCGAAATATTTCTTTCAAATATCTTCTTGTTCACGAAGAAAGAAAAAACAAAAAATGAAACAAAAAATAAAAAATGTTTTTTTTATGAAAAGACAAAGGACAAAATTCCCTAAGAACGTGTTGAGCTACATACGGGAAACAAAGCATACGTTCAACCAAAATCGATCTATTAAGACTGGTTTTCTTTGTCTATAAATGGTCACCCATTTAGAAAATTCCACTGACATCACAGACTACAAGAGATAACTACAACCAATAGGTTACGCGTTTGACGTTTGTTGTTGTTAACTACCATTTTTTCTCTTCGATTTCTTAAAGATAACTCTTCAATGTGCTACCCTGCCTAACATGTCGTATGGTAATCTTCTCTAGTTTTATATTCCACCCTTCCATAAATCCATGCGCTTAAAGTATGCAAATACAGTTTAAAATGTTTCCAGTTTTCTAAATGAATAAGGTTAGAAACTGTACATCAGAGGTTTATGGTACCCTTTTATAACTATAGACCATTATTTAACACGCAACACTTACAGCAAATTCTCCCAGGGTATACTTTGCGTTCGGGACACAAGCTGGATCTTGTTCATCTACTCTAGTGCCAACGGGAAACCCCTAAAAGATTGAAATGAAGGTAATAAATATGAAGGTCAAGCAATTTTCACAGACACAACAGTCTACAACACGAATACTTTCTCACTACAAAAAAATCTCTCTCGGATCAGAGAAAGCTATGACAAATTCATCTTACTGGAATATCTGGTACACAAACTAACATTTTCATTTCTTTAAATCGAACTTGAAATCGTCCAGTATTGCCCTACGTCCAGGCCAGCGTTTGGCGGATTAGATAAGGTAGGACATATCTCGCTATCCCCACTTGCTCGCAGGCTAGAGCTCTCAAAGTTTTAGTCTGTTCCAAGGAATGGGGACGCTTTCTCTCCTTTCCTAGCGCTTTTTTTTTTTCGATCTTCTTTTCATAGTCGCACCACTCTCTTCTAACTGAACGCCTGAAACAGCGGGCTGTTTGAGTTTACATAAAACCTACGATCGCCTCTTCACCGTTTCCAGTGTAAACTGAGACAAGAAAACAGACAGGACAATAAAATTCGCCAGGAGTCCCATATGGAATAAAAGACTCATGAAACAAAACGCCTCGCACCCAGACGTCTCTCTCCTTTCTCATTCCCATGGTCCATTGCGCTTCGTCACTAGTCACTCGCGTTCCGCGCACGTCTCTATGCGAAATACGAAGTGCCTGAAAAGGAGACGGTATCATTTACCTTTTTGTTGCAGTATATAAGTGCCGCTATTGCCATTCCTGTGGTTGTTCGACCTTTACCCTGTTCGCAGTTAAACACCAAGGCAGGTCCGTCTTCATCGGTGTAAATCTCATGTAGGTTGTTAAGGATCAACAATATGCGATCAAAATCCTGCAAAGAAAATGTCTTGATCAGATAACTGAGAAAGAAAGAAAGACGATTACTCGAATAGAATCCCTCATGGAATTGGTTTCAGGATATCTTAGCTCTAAGAGGTAGCAATGATCTAACTAAAGGAAAATAGGAAGTCCAGTTCGGGAAAAAATCTGTTAAAAGCAAACAAAATACACTCGAACCTCTAGTATAAGCGACCACCAAAATGGTTAGACAGAGTACGTGGTTGCTTACAGGAGGTAATCGCTTACGACCGTCGAACTGCAGGAGTCCGGACACATCTACTTTTTGCAGAGAAAGTATTCATGCAACTTTTAGGTTACAATACCTGTGAATCCTTTTTTGCTTTCTAACACTTCTTTTCACACTCTGAGTACCGTACTATATACAGTAAACACAAAATCAAACCATTGTCCCAGGTTATCGCTTAGAAAAGGATAGAAACAAGGGACAATCCTAAAACCGTCATCCTAAAAATTGGTTACAGTCGCTTACGAGAGGTGGTAGTTTACGAGGGGTTCAACTATAACTAAGTCTTTGACTGGGAGAATTAATTTCGGTGTTTCGGATAGGTAGTCGCTTATAGGAGGTTCGACTGTATACTGTATTAAGTGAAAATTAAGGTCATGGAGGAAGTATTTTCAACCTTGGTTGCCATGTGTGTGCGTCATAACTATGGGCTCTCTGTGACGTCCGCACAAGCGTAAAATTTTCTGACACGATCTTTAGGCTATGTTTGCTTAGTTATGAACTTCTTTCAGCTCGAGAAAGCTTTGCTCACGGTTATTAAGGAACACACTTATAGCAGAAGGCATGGCTAGAGCTCAAATGGTAAGATCATTCAAGTGTGCTGCCTAGTTTCGACTAGTTGTAAACGAAGAAGTTCACGGTCCCAGCTCAGAGTTTTGCCTCCCTGGGCGGTGACTTTAATCCGTTGGTGTTTACCCCAAACATTTTTCAGTTTGCCCTACCAAAGAAGACACTAAATAACCAACAACATACTTTGCAAAAATAGTGATGTTAGTCTCCACCGGTGTCTGTAAGTTGGCCTTATTTAATATTATGGAGCATCTACTTGGTCACTAATATTGCCTCTGCACCAGACTGCAAAACAGTCCTTGTTGAGTAGTCAAGTACGTGCGAAGAGTAAAACAGAAGGTCTAAAGCGAGGCTGAAAACGGAGAGTGAGATTTCAAGTCTATTTCTGCACAGGATAGAGAAATTCCTTCGCCCGCACAGCGCTACTTCCCGGGGAAGACTCCATTATATAAGCCATACCAAGAGCCTGGCCATACATAGAGCCATATAGATATGTGCTGCACCAAGGGATATGGTTTTTGGGCCTTTTTTGTCTGAAAACGGGTATAGAACTATAAGTCTGTATGAACGTATTTGAGTAAGACAGAATGAGAAATATGCGAACTCGAAATCGTTCAAATCTAAGAAATGATGACAAAATTAATTTTTTATAGGCCAGGTCTGAAAACGGGTGTGATTTTTTGGTCTGAAATAGGGTGAGGATTTAGAGAACCGGGCGGCACACCCCCGCCAAGAATTCCTAGGAGTAACCCCCGGAGGCGTTGATTTTACCTTTTCCTCAGGTGCCTTATCTTCTGGTAGCGGCAACCTAAAGTACGTTGTTTGTGGATGCTTTGATATGCACAGCTCCGCTGATTCTCGCAAAGTCAAAACACTGTTGAAATCCCGCTCCTCCGGCTGTGAGTTGATATCCAAATACACCTAAACGAGGATAACAAACTCTTAAAGTTAAAAACTAAAACACTGAATTCCTATAGCCCCGCGCTTTCTAAGAAAAATTCAGAGTCGTCAAAGTCCAGTTATAAGTAAATGTCTCCTGATAGTGGGTCAGGCACAGTATACTAGTAAGAGGGTCTCAATGGGGTTAACCGATAGGCGTAAAACGGCTAAAAATTTAGTCGATAGCCGTAAAAATTGAAAAATTTTAACCGTTAGCCGTAAATAGGGTAAAAAAGAGTTAACCGTAAAAGAAATTGTTCCCTAGATTTGCTACTTTTAAGGAAGATACTAAGCTCACTTATGACACTTATAGTTGCGTTTTTTTATTTCCCAGCTACTCTGACTCTGTACGCACGTTAGGCCAAGCACCTTTTAGGTGTTGACCAAGACCTAGGCTCCACTCCCGCCGCTCTTTCAGGAAAATAATTTTTTCCATAGCGAAAGTCTGGCTTCTTGCTGGGAATTAATATTTGCGATTTTCAGAAGGTCGTGTCCTCGAAACACTAGTGAAACAGCACGCAGAGATGTCACTGTCTGTAAAACACTTTGCCGATAAACAACATTTCCCTATTTTTCTCTGACGCTACGGTAGACATTGCCATGACTAGTCCCTGTATGGCGTCTTCCCACGCCATCTCGATCAAGGCATTTCGGTGGCGAACTCGCTCGGACCACGTTACCCGAAACGCATTAGCCGTGCGAAACAATGAGGCTTATGGACAAGGCAACGGCTGACAGTCGTTCAGTACAGTCCTTCGCTATCATTAAAAACACTGGACACGGGAATTTTGTTACTGGCCGTTTTCACACTAGAGCTGGAGATTATCAGTCTGAGACTAGCCTGTATACGGTCGCCCTCTTCCCGACAGACACCTCTTCTCCGATTTTTTTTGAGGGGAGTGGGCGGCCGTACACAGGCCATCTGGAACGGATAATCCATCTTCAAACTGTCCGTCGAAATTGAGGGATAAAGTCAGGCGGATTATTTATTCAAAATTGAAACTATTCCATTTTCAAATTAAGACGTATTACTTATCTGACGCGAATCATCAAACGGATAACCCGTCTCACACGAATAATCCGTCTCTAGTGTGAAAACGGCCATTTCTGTTGTAATGAATGTCGTGCCCCAGCCTTAAGTTGGGCGTTCGCGTGAGTGCTTTGCTTTTCTCACGAAGATTACGAAGACCTCTATTTTGCTTTAAAGATACAAAAAATACGGGCTAATTAATATTTAACTTTTTGAAACAAAAGAAGTTAATATTTAACTTTTTTGTTAACCGTAACTGAAAAAAATTAACCGATAGCCGTAAAAGAGCCAAAATTTTAGCCGATAACCGTAAATGCCACCACCCCATTGAGACCCTCTAGTAATCGACTGCACTATCCTGGTCAGTTTGAAAGCCAAAGTTGGATTAATCAAAAATCAAACATGATTCTGAGGCTTCGGGGACAAAATTGCAAATTTTTCACGACCCATGAGCTAAATTAATAGACGCAACTCTGCTCGCAACCTCGTTCCCAGTGTCCTCTCTCTTGCTTTGAGAAAGAACCCCGGTTGCGGCTGGTCACGTGGCCCCCAAAATTTGAGAGCCTGCAAAAATAAGGGAGGGGAACTCTGTCGGGGTCCGAGAGGAACTTGAAATGTCAACAACGCTCGAAAAAATTCGAAAAAATAGTATTGCGTAATGCAAGAGAGAGAACCCTGGGAGCGAGGTATGCTATTTACTTGGTATATTGTTCACCAGCCGATAAATTAACTAAAGTGGAAAATACCATTACAATCTTCAAACTGCCGTCTGGGTGGTGTTTCATTTAAACCTTACTTTTGAATTATCTTTTCCTTTTCATGAACTGCACACGCGGAGTATGCAAATTTACAAAAAGCTAACTTTGCACGTGCAAATCAAGACAGATTTTCTGTATCCTGCTGGCAGAACGGTGCGCAAATATTTTTTCAAGTGCAAATTCTCTGAACAAATAATCTGTTCTGTTTTCAAAATAATGTTATCGTAACTAGCCGAAAGCAATGTAGTTTGCACGCAACTCAAAAACTCAAGCGATATTTTGAAGCAAAAATTTTCTCCCTACCCCATATAGTATTTCTGAATCATCGTCCAGTCGAAAAAATTTAGTGGAGGGCCTACCCCCTCTGCGAAATTCATTGACACACATTTTCACGTGACCAGCCGCAACCAGGGTACTTTCTCTAGGGAAGAGAGAGAGAGAGAACCCTGGGAACGAGGTTGCTCTGCTCTTGCATCATACGTTAGTACATTTCTTTTACATCGACTTTGCACGACTACGATGTAAAACCTCCTTACGCGACTCTTTATGGAGAACGTGAACATACGACGACAAATTTTCTTTCCTCTTTTTCAACATGGATAAAGTCCATAAGAATTCAACTCCAGGAATAGTCGCGCACGTTTGACAAATTGAGCGGCTCGAAATAGACGCGATAAAGTTTGAAAGGATGCAAATTCATTTTTTTCAGCTAGGCGTTTTCATTGCCGCCGGAGGAGGCTGGGTCGAGATTCGTTGCCATGACAACAGTCTATATCCTTTGTCAGAGAGAATAAAATATAGAAAGATAACTACGATTCTACCTGAACAGGACGCTTCTTCCCTTTTTTCAGTAAGTCTGATCTTAACTCATTTTCCTTTTGCTGAAATTTTAAAATAATGCACAATTTTTAGCAGTGCGTAGAAAAGTAACAAATTGCCAATTAAGATAGTGCTGTAAAAACAGGTTTTTCAGGAGTATTTAAAATCATTGATGTACCTCAATTCCAGAAGTGTCCAATCCTCTGTAAGGCATGTGATCGCAAAGGTGGGAAAGCTTAAATTGAAACAAAACACGATGTGAATTTAACAAATGAAATTATAAAGTCTATAATTATGAAACTGGGAAAGGTTTGAACCCACGAGTCATTTCATATTTAAGTAGGTTGAGCATGATCTCCCGAGTGAACTTAATCCGTACGAGGACTAAAACACAATTTGTCAAGTTAACAAAGTTATAAATGGCCAAGGAATTTTGCTATTCTTCCAAAAGCTCCATGAAACAATTTCAAATTTTTCCATATTCCTGCAGCAAGCTATAACAGTACAAAAAGGAATACGTTGAAATCAACCAACCCGCCCAAGTGCGATCATGACACCGACAGTAAAGAAAAACCCGCGTATAAGAAACAAATAACTGTTCGGCTTAAAATTGGGGATATTGTCCCTTATTATATCAGTTATTTGAGGCTAGACATGTGTTGGAAATCAGGAAAGTAACTAAAAATGTGAGCCTTTATCTAAAAAGCCGGTTAGACCCAAGAAAACCAACATTCTTAGTAGATACCCAATATACAAGAACCCTAGAAAATATTTATATAATTAGGTTGTTTATAAGCGGCTTTTTAATAATCTTGCCAGCTTCAGTATTTCTATTGCGAGCTTACCTCTCTTGGACTTAATGTGTTCCCATCACAGTCTACTGCGAGGTCTTCTCTCACGTTAAAGAGAACAACCTTAGGGTGAAGGCATTTTGCTCCGAGAAGAAAGCTTACAACACGATTTAGACCCTGTGCAAACGGAACGAACAGTAAAATAGTCAAAAAAGTCCAAGAACTTTCCAACGTTGGGTTGTAGAGTCATGAACTCTCTTCAAGACGGATAGCTTTGGGAGCGACACTATTAAGCCACTATTAATGATGTCCGTCTTATAGACAGTCAAATAAAGCAGGGGGCCGATAAAGGCAGGTACTAGGTCTAGGTGTCCGTTTTACGGAGGTGATGTTCTTATAAAGGGGCAAGTCTGTTAAGAGAGAATCGACTGTGCCCAGAATACTGTTGATAAGGAGAATGAATTACCACACATTAAAAAAACAACAACAGAATCACAAATTCTAAGGTTGTCGCACCTGTCTTGAAGGTTGGCACATGCCATACACCGGAAATCCAGGAACGTTGCGAAAATTTGAAACCTAAACGAAAATATACAGGCGTTGAATAGTAAATCAGGCTTCAACAGGCATTTGGAAATATCATCCAAGTTATGGAATTATAGTGTACCAAAACCGGATTTTTTCCCCTTTAAAGTTCTTTGCTTAGTTCAGCGGGAAAAAAAAACAGACAGATTTCAGCAGAAGCGGTTTACTTAAACTCACACCAGACGAACTGGTTGCATTATATCCCTGGTAAAAGCAATTGTAAAAGTAACGAGTATAATGCAAAACAACTAGACTATAAGTTACCCTCTACGATTCATGGTCATAATCCCTTTAAACCCCAATAGCCACAAGCAAGTTTTCCATACATTCCCGTCTGATGAAAGACCAAAGAGCAGCATTTTCTAAATTCTCATAACCTTTTCTCTTGATTATGCATTAGAATTCCAAGGAGAAAATTCATGTTGGTCACCCTTAGGATCGTTAAAGAGATGGCCACGTCACTCGCTAAGTCAGTTAAGTTTCGCTTACGCTTTAATTTGTACCTCAAATTCCCGCCTCGTACTTAAGACATCGAGACTAATTTGCTCATCAGCAACCTACGAAGAAAAAAAAAGGATGGTTAAAACCGGGCAGAAAGAACGACTCTTAGAGACACAAAAAAAGTCATTTTCCTACTAACGGATTTAGAAATAAATGACCGGGGCTCTGAAAGGATTGATCATGAATACCGATAATAAATAGACGAGGAAACTTTCGCTATTGAAGAAACCATGACTAGATTAGCTAGTGAGCAAAACATAATTCTGTAGCAAGAGATTAAAAGCAAGTGATACTATTTTCCACACTGCAATATAGAGAGCTTTATTTTCTGATTTAAACAAATAGGCCATTCTGAGTTCCAAAAACCCTCACTTTCAAAATGAGGCCAAGTGTACAATCTTTCTTGTGGAAATGAGTTTTACTTGCACGAGAATGAAAATTAAAACCATTTCCGTATCAAAGGCTGAGCACTTAACCTTGTTTTGATACAGAGGCCTGAGAACTCAGAAATGGCCCCTATTAAATGGTGTGGGGTGAAATCACCTTCAGAAATCACGTGATCCATTGCAAACAACGAATGTTTCACAGAACATGCTCTGTTGCCCATACTACCTACTTTGGCTACTTAATAACCTACGCACTTTGTAATTCTCTTCATTATACCGGTTAAGTCCGTATCGATGAAATCATACACTAATACAGTCGATAGGTTGATAGATTACTCGATGCCAGCAAAGATACCTTGTTTTGCTTCTAACAAAGATTAAGAATCAATAATCACCAAGAAAGTGGGATTCTGATATTTGGACATAAACTCTGACGTCACTCCTCTTTCCATGACGTCGATATGACTCAGCATTCGGTACAACCAAGGTCTCCGCTGCATCCACTTCCGAAACGTTTGTGAAAACATGAGCGGGAACTGGAGAGGGAAAGTATTGAATATTGATCATAAAAGTGCCGTTGGTAGTCTACCGTTGATTAAGTACGTAGGTTGGCTTGTTTACGTCCACGAGGACTTTTTTTGAACAAGCCAGCATAGGCGAATGCAAGGTTCTACCGGTACACCCCTATCGTAAAAAAGTTCCATCCTCCCCTGGCAGGTATTTCCTGTTTTCTCTCTACCGGTATCTGATTTGGCCTGCGGAGCAGGTGCTTGCCTCTGCTGCGCGCCCCGTTCTCTTTCACACCCATAACTTCCGAGTGCCTGCTACACGGGCTTTATTTGATGTGGTTTTTGTAAAATTTTCTTTGTATTCCTTAGCTCTTACCTGTTCATGTAGATACGCATTGAAGAGAATCAGAAAGAAATAACGTTCCAGGGCGCTCAATCCTCTCTTCAACCAGTATTCACACGCGCTCTGGCCCTGAAAAGTACATATTAACAGAATCACAAGATAATTTATATGAAGAAAATCACTCCGACGGAAGTATATGCGTACGTGTTAAATAGGGCTTTTTCCGGGTCCTATTAGTGATGGCTAAGATTTTGTACTGATTTCTACTTCCTGAAAATAAAAATTACCGGCCCACTGGTGAATTGGCAACCAATCTGAAGTAAAACCAAAGCCGTTTCCAGCCTTTCGCACCGGTGACATCTCCACATATCGCTGACTAGTTGCCTACATTATCCACGTCTGTTCTGATTAGTCAAGATAAGAGATAATCTTGGTCAAGGAGATAATTTTGGTCTCAAGGGCTTTGTCTCTTTGCATTCAAGGCAATCATTCATACAAGCCGTTTTTCTATTAACCATTATATTTAATCAAATATGTCGTTTAACATTTAACCGTACCTCAATCTTGTAATCATCCTTTATTTCTTCTAGTTTCTTTTTACATTCGTAACTAACAGACCGCAGGTTCATGACTTCAGAACAAATGTCAATCACAGAGTCCACCTTTTATTAAAACAAAGCAAAACATGACGTAAGCAAGAAAAAGGTTACATTGCTGAACACTGTAGTGATGTTTGCGGAGAATGCAAACTCAGTGAAGAAGGAGTGATCAGCTGCGGTGGAACATTGGTCAGGTTAGGGAGGAGCAATACCATACATGTGCTAAATCGGGTATTTGTTCATGGAAGGATGGAGTTAAAATCAAAGGCGTTTAGTCTAGTATAGTCAGAGAACTTTGGTCTAGGAATTTCATCAGTGAGTATAAAGAATCTGAATTGGACTTCCTGTTGTTCATAGTTTGTCTTGGTGGGGCAGTAACATGTGGCACTTCGTCTAGTATAGGGTGGCAAAATTGTAGGTGAACATGGTCTGCTATAGGCCAATGTTTCTAGGATCCAATGCAGCGGCACACCTCTAGAGTACCCCCCCCCCCCCCCCCCCCCCCCCCCCCCCGGGAGGAGGGGGAGAAAAAAAACACCATCATTCTTTTTTTTTTTTTTCTTTTTTTTTTTTTTTTGGTTAATATTTTTTAAAAAAAAAAAACTCTTTTTATTTTTTAAAAAAAAAAAAAAAAAAAAATTATGAATAATTTAAATGTAGAAATGTATTTTATTGTTTTATATTTTTTCTTTTATAATTGCTGTTTTTGTAGTGTAAGAGTACCCCCCCCCCCCGACCCTCCCTTCCCGGAGATGGAAGAATGGGAAGATAACACCCCTCTTGATTATCTTAATTTCTCCCCTAATCTTTATTGCACGGGTTAAGATTTAAGAAAAACATAATCTCTTGTTAATGGGACAAGAAATAAGAATAAGTGTAATTATGAACGTATGCAATGCTGATATGATACCTCGTGTTTAATCTGCCTTCCATTAGGAAGGTTCTTTACAAGCTGCTGAATGAGCCGAAATTCTCCTCTTTCTAAGTTTGGCTTGTTTTCATCGACTGGTAGCGGAATTGTGCTGAAAATAACAACGGTGAAATAAAAAACAAGTCACACCGTACTGTAAAACTGTATATACTCTATATGGGCTTAGGTCATGTCGCTCCTATGGAAATGGAAATGGCTTAGGGTGGCAATATTACCGTTACAGATGCCACACCCCACTCCAACAAAACCTGTGAGTACAGCACTTCCCCCCTCCAGGCCTTTCCTAAAAACGATATGATCAAGTTTACGCCCACCTTAATTACCTGTACTTATAATCCATGCAAAGACGGAAGACAGGATACAGCCACGTAAGTCTATGAAATCTGGGTTTCACTTACTGCGATTCTGCCGGAAAACCAGTCCTGTGACACATGATTAAGCAGCCAATCACCATTCCTGTAGTAGTTCTACCCTGACCGACGTGACAGTTGAACACCATGGCGGGCAAAGGAGCTGAGGAGTTTCTGTCGAATAGCTGAGGAATATCTTTTACGGCGCTGATAAACTGATCGAAGTCTTGCTCTTCGGGTGCATTTGTAGCAGTGATTGGGATTCGAGAATACCTGCGATAAAATCATACTTTTAAGAGATATTCCTTCTTAAATTATGGGGGATTATCTTTAGCATTTCAAGCAAAGGAAAACATCGTCCCTTTTTGCCTTATTACACTAACCGATACGATCATACTTGTGATCGTTCAGGCTAAGCGTCCTGGTAAACAGTCCACAAGCTTAGCCTGTCCGACAACCGCCTCTCTTCGTTTCTAACCACCTGAGCAGGTAGAACAGAAATGAGCTCTGTTCCGATCAACAAGTGCAAGGCTTCAAGGTGCTCAGTCTGCTGTTATGTGTCCAGCGCAGTCATGTGATCTAATAAGGTTGCCATCTTGAGGAAAACAACACGAGGGAGTCGAAACGTCGAGAAAAGTTTCACACTGTTTCGTCGAGGAGTAAATTTATTTTTAAATCTCAAGGATACATACGTTTAAGGAAAAGATAACAACCTCACCTAAGAAAGGGAGTCAGGAATATCTGTCTACTGTAAATCTCATCCAGTACACACAGGTCCTCTTCGTAAGCAACCTTATATAGGTGAGGTTCATCCTCAAACGTTTCCACGTTATTATAAAAATAAAAGTTTCCACCTTCCTCTATGGAAAACTTAATTATCTGCAACATGAATAAAAACGATCACTAGACATTACTCTGATTGACGTCACATTCTAAGATGTATAATAGCAGTAATGCTCAAGTCAATGATATAGGGCGTTTACACATGACGTAACGGCGGCCATATTGGTTTAACAAAACAAGGTAAAGGAGGTCTTACGTGTTGGTGTTTAGCCTGAAAAAACAGCCGATATTTGGCGACGTCACCACTGGTTTCGCCGCGAAATGACGTTTGGTGACGCCACGACTGGTCCTCCTCACCACCTCGAAATGACGTCTGAGAAACGGGCGCAGAAATTCCATACTGATGACGCGTCACTACCCAGATCTGGCATGGGTAGTGCTTCTGAATGGGCATGCCGCGTGGGAAATTTGCTTCAGCCTATCAGAAGCACTACCTAGATTTGAGTAATGACGCGTCATCAGTATGGAATTTCTGAGGTCGTTTCTCAGACGTCTTTTCGAGGTGGTGCGGGGGACCAGTAGTGGCGTCACGAAACGTCGGCTGAATTTCTTATATATAAATGCTTCCTTTTGTTCCAATAAATTTGCATAGATGTTGGCCAAGTGAGTGAAAACTCTCTATACAAGAAACATTGCAAATGCAAAAGCAAATCATCTATACCAGCAAAGCAGTGATTTATTATTATTTTGAAGCTTTTCAGATTCTTAAACAATGATTTCATCGACATACAAAAACTTGGATTTTCTGGGCTATCTCTGAAGATGCTAAGCATAACTTGTCTTGCAAGAACCGGGATTCGGAGAAGGCCATGTTCCAAGATCTTCAAAAAAAATTTCCGAGCCGTCAGTCCGGGGGCTGTTAGTTAATAAAAGCGTACTGTACCTCTTCTCTAATATTGAGTTCTGTCTCAGCAAGTTCCTCGGGCTTTACTCCATGATTAGCAATGTTTCCCTTTAGGCTACTGGGGTCTCGTGGCGAGTATGGCACGAAATCATGATTTAGCCCCACAAATATCACGGGTTCCTCTCGTAAGTTAAACGACACTATCTCCTGTGAACAAATTCATCAGCACATTAGACTGGCTTTCAGGTAGATGTCCAATATCACAACAGCGTAGCACAGTAAATACTTAAAAAGGTGTCATTTCAAAACTCTCCCGAAATCTGTCATCTTCTGTGAAAAAGAACGCTCCGTCTGTTCTTTAGAGGTTTCTTTAGGGCATGCGTTCGAAGCCATCTTTACTTTTCTGATTTATTAATTTATTGATTTATTTACCTCGTTCAAGTTATATCTATTTATTTTTCGTCACTACAAGAAATTAGATTACTTTCGAGTAAGCCTTTCGTCTTTTCCCGTTTTCTGAACTGCAGTCTGTTATCGCCAAGAATTACGCGAAAACACTAAAATGTAGCCTGTAGGGTGTAGGCTTTGCTTCGTGGTGGTCATTTTGAACTAATGCTTTAATAAACCTCGACGCGGCCAAATTTGTATTACTAAGTGTCTTATCTCTCACAGAGACGATTTTCCATAAAACTTTTGGCAAAACCACTGGACAAGAATGCAAAAAATCCACCGCCGCTAGACGCACATTGCTCATAAAGGTCTTGTTAAACTCGCTAATTGGCGGGCAGCTAGTGCGAGGTCTGGAACTGACTACGGACTGTGATAACTCCTCAAGTAGTTTGAAAGGTTTGGGTCTAATAGGTATACCCTTGGAAATGATTTATTGACTATATCTTCGGCACAGATTATGGAGCTGAATCAAAATTTGGCACACGCAAATTAAGAACTCATCGTCCTTAACATTTTAAACTAGAAATACGTTATCGCAAAAATCTCGCGAAGCTAAAAAGGGTCAGCAGTGAGAACAAACGGAAACAAGCCAAAGGGCAAAAATGCTGAATGGCGTCTTTAGGAATTGTTTAAGGCTTGTTCTAGGCAACTACGGATACCAAACCGGTAGTAACGGCCGCTCTCTCCGCGAGAACTATAAATATTGTGTTAATAAGTCACGTGATATGTCACGTGACCATTTTGCATAAAAAATCTTAAATAATTGACAAGAAATCGAGCAATAACATTTTTCTCATACATTAAATATTTTTAACACTTCACGTTTGGAACGACCGTCCATTGCTCTTCCAAAAAAAATATGAGGGTAAACATCATTCTAAATGCCCAAATTTAATACTGAATTATTTAAAACTTTAATTTTAAACTTACATTCATTCTAAGGTTAGAACATTAGGTATGTCTAGCCTCTATCAGAAACGCTGATTTATTTATCCAAACAAAGCAAAATAATTCGCCACCAATTCCAATTGACCAATGTCCTTCATTTTCAATTTTTGGGCACGTGACATGCCACGTGACCATGATTAAACGTTAAGGCACAAGAAGACCTCAAGATTTACTTTTCGGGAAAATTCCAATTTGTTCTAGGTATTCTAGTAAGAGATATTGCCAATCAATCATATTCTCCAAACACACCGTTGACCCAGGTCTTAAACCCCTTGCGGAGATCAAAATGGCCGCAGCTGCAATCACTGACGCGGCTGCTACAAAACATCGTCGAATCTATGTAAAAAGGCACTTTTATCTTTTGCAGTATCTTTTGTAATTTTGCCATTCCAATGAATTTAAAAGGTTTTATAATCATGATAAGTATCGTTTGTAGTAAGCAAAAAGTAAATTCACGGTCGCTTTGAAATGTTTCCTTTCCTTTTTTAAGTGTAACTGAATATTGAACTGAGTGAAGTGACTGCGGACTTATTGGCCAGCTACTTGGGCAGCTCTTGAAATTGTAAATCTGCCTCAAATATGCGTATATCAAGAATATACCCCATCGCTGCATTAAATACGACCTTCCAGAGTTTCGTTTAATTATGTACCCCATGTACATCAGTGGATGAAGTTAAGTACAGTTTACTATACAAGTGCGTTAGTTTCCAACGCATTTTGCGGCTGCTGGCTGTAAATGCATTCTATAGGCGGTATCAAAATTTGATTACGAACGTATATTGCAGCTTGTAAAGTTCAACCTGTATTAATCGACCACCCTTGAGTAATGGCCAACTGATCGTTTAATATGACTGTGGCAGGATGAAAGTTTATTAAAAATACAGATTCAACCAGTTCTAAACACAATCACGAAGAAAATATAGACGAGTAAAACTATCCGTTAAGAGACGAATTGACGACAGATTTATTCCAATGTTAGCACTTAATAGACGTCGCCCCGTTTAGGTTCACAATACTGAATTCCGCCATAATTTTGGCAAAACTTGTGCAGACCGCTTTAGAGAAGGGCGGTGACAGCTTACACGGGTTCGCTTAATACGGCGAGTTTTCATGAAGCTTCATTTTCAAAACCCTTTGTCATTAAGATGCAGTCTGTATGACAGCTTGACGTGTAAAAAATAATTAACGTTAAAATGTTTGCGGCAAATTATTTAAGTGGTTGAAACACGTTAAAATCCGCCAAAAGGTCATTAAACAACAATTAAAGCAGTGAATATTGTTCTTTTAGTATATATAAAGCTAAAGAGGACTCTTGAGAAGATCACAATGAAAAAAAAATCGACATTCGGCATGACAACTGAACCTTTGGGCAATTCCAATGATTACTTATATCCGTCATTTCAGCTTTTCTTTTTCTTTCGTAATTCTTTACTTTTTGTTACCATGAAGTTCAAAAAAGGTAACGAGACGCCGATCTGGGATCTACATACTTTTACGACTTTAGCTGTACTCAAAATAGCTACTGTCTGTTTAGCAATCAAGACAGAATATATTAACCAGCCTACATGGTAATAATTCCGCCCTCAAACTTTAGAATCTTCTGAACGAGATCCTATGGTGTTACGATTCAAATGAAACTTCTTTGGCGGAACTTATGCACAGCACGATTTATTTCTTAGGATCTTACGAAAAGAAATAAAGTTTTCACTTTGACAAGATTCAGTAGTGCCATGAAAGCTCACGCGGGCGCGCTGGGCATTAGCGATCTTACGAAACTACGACGGCGACGGCAAGGAGAACGTCAAAAAAGCAATAGGTTTAATGAGCAAAACAACAACTCTACACCTGCATCACGCTTTTTTCCTTCGCTTTCTCTACACAACTACGACGTGAAATGACCAAATTTTAAGTTTACTTGAGAACGGGAACTGCAAGGCGATAAATTCTACCATCTCTGTCTGAACTCGGGCGCGGTCCCCTCTCTTCAGCTCCAACCAAAATTCCCTTCTTTTAAGTAACAGGACGAATTGGGATAATCGCGAAAAAGTTTAAAAGGATGCGAAGTCTATTCAGCGATGTTTTAATGGACGTCGCCGTTGTCGGATCGTAAGGTCCCTATTAACGGCCGGCAGAAAACTTCTGTAACTGCCAACAAACTACAAAACTAAATTTCTCGTTCTTTATGTATCCCAGCGTTAGTTGCCCTCATTGTTGGGTGATAAACGTTGAAGCTCTTCCTCTAATTCCTTTGACTGTCTCTGACTTTCGGGAAATAGTTATCTTAACGGAATCTATTCGGGATCTATTGGCAAGCATAAATTTTTAAAGAAAATACAGACATAACTAACAGCAAAAAAATACAGTATTTAAGAGAGTAGGATGTGTACGTTTTTAATAACATAAAATTCATTTGGTGTCTGATTTGAACATTGCCTTTTGCGTGACATTATCATTTCTGGCTTTGTAGATATGCATATGTAGTACAGAAAGTTTTTACAGCCAGGCCAAAAGTGCCCTCTTGGAGTCCGGTTAATGCTTCAGCGCTTATGACAACAAGAGGTTCGAATACTAATCTTTTTAATTTTCTTATAGCATACACCTGAAACGTTTGTGTTTGTTAGATTTGACACTTTTTATATTTCTTTACCGAATATCACTTCATCAGTTATCTAACTACAAGACTCAAGCATCCCTGACGGTTTTTCCTTTTAACATTGATCGACAAACGATTCGGGTGTATTATCCTTCTTCAGTGTGGGGAAAACCGTTGTTGTTTATTTAAATCATGCTGTGTAACCTCGATCGAAAACTTGTTTCCTCTTTTTTATCATTATTATTATTTTCTATCTGCTCTTTATCAGTCAGTTCACAATGAAATCCCAGAAAACGCTAAGGTGCTAAAACAATCCACATTAATTGCTTCTACTGTAGCTGATTTTATAAGAGAGGCGCCACCTTTAAATTCTTCTTCAAGTTATGAAATTTTGACGTTGCTATGTGAACTGTCATCAATAAACAGTATTCCCGCCAGAATTTTAATATTTTAGCGATTGCCAAGTATACCTTACAGATAAATATTTCTAATTTGTTATCAGACTTCTCTTGAAGATTTTTCAGAGTTTATTTATTTAACTAGAAGAATTAAATTTTTAGGGTTTGATTAGACAAAAAATATTTACAATTTATAACGACGATTGCACAAGAAAACTTAATTTTGTTTCTGTAACGCAGCGAATAAAATGCTTTAGACAAAATACAAGTAGTTCCTTGTTATCATTTTGGCGAAAAAGACTGAGAAAAATACACTTCCCGCTGAGAATCCTTTGAAGGTTTTATTACGCTGAACCCTACGAAAACTGTAATTGTAAATTCAACCCTAAATGAAGGGCTTTTCTTTTTTTCCTAAGAATCCATCTTATATTTTGTTTACTGTGTGTTGTACAGCGAAACGGAATCCGGCTGTGACGTGACTAACTACTAGTTATCTCTAAGAAACGGCGGAAACCGATATCTGCGTAAATTCACTTGGTCTGTGAGCCCTCAAAAAAATTAATTTCGTCATGTAAATTTTCGATTAGATGACGACCGCTTTTTTTTTCAGAAAATAAAGGTATTTAATTCTCCATTGAGGGATGGAAAATCAAATAGGAGATCTAAATCAACCCGCAGTGCTTTTTACAGCTAGATTACTGAGAAGAGCTGAAAACAATCGCAGTGCACAAAAAGGTTTCTTAAACGCTTCGGATGCCCTGAAAGTCGATAAAGATCTGCAGATGCGTTTGTAGCTATCATAAAATTAATGGCTTATACTTACTTTATGCCCACTTTCGACTAAGGTTTGAATAACATGAGCTAAACCGTCCCTGGAAGGCTGACCCATTCCATACACGGGATAGGGTCCTTGACTCTTGCGAAAATTCGGCGCCCCATACTTGTCCAAGGTCTTTAGTTTGTCTATTCCGTCAAAGTGATCTTTTATCAGGAAATATTTGTCTTGAATAAGACCGTGAACTGGAAATCCCTCTTTGATGTACCCTCGCTTCCGAGCGAGCGGAGTATGAGTAGGCTCATAGCTCAATGTAATGAAGCCGTTTGAGCGTTTCTTCGAAACAGTGGAAGTTTTTCTTGACGATTTATTCTCCGATTCGTTCGATGAAAGGCTTTCCTTGACATTTGGATTCGATCCTGCCTGTGATCCTCCGCTGCTAGCGCCGGTTCCCATTTCCCAACATCTGAAAAGGCCTTGAAAAGGCCAAAAAACAAAAATTACCTTCCGATTGAGATTACTGGAAGAGATTGCACCTTCGCTGCTGCCATTGTAAACAAATGAGAGAAGTTTTGTCACAACGAGCATTTGATGTTGGTTGGAGAGAATAATGTTCATTTGTGCAGCTCATCTTGACAGCTGTTGCGGAAAACCGACCAATCGTAAAACATTTTCTCTGAAAGGAAACCAATAAGATGCTGCAGGTGGTTTCAAGTTCACATAAATACAACAACCGGTGCACGTGTCTCTGGGCAACAAAGACTTCAATGAAAGGCACTCGCCTAAAAAAACAACGCTTGTAAAAGTTTTTATGTGAAATCGAGAAGATCCTCTCGTCTTACAGCAACGCTGAATCGATGCCCTAAATTGATGCTTTCCAACTTCTTAAACCGCTTTCCTCGAAGTGACATGATTGGCTCTCAATTTCAATTAATGACTTTAATGTGTGAAATTTGCAAACGGGCAAGCACCATTTAAAGTTTTTTGACGATGTAAGAGTCACGTATCACCGAGATGGTTTTCAAAGCAAAACTGAGTAGAAAACAGAATGCGACTAATTTTTTACAGCATCTCAAAATTCATTCAGTTTATACGATCGAGTCTGTATTGTGCGCGCTGCCTGTGTTGTCATGACAACGCACTGGCAGCCTTTGTAACGCGGGCAAAAGAACAACAGAATTGTTGTTGATGCTCCCTTAAATCTTCAAAATATGCAAATGAGATAAACATCCCATCCGAATATGAGTTAACGGACGGAAAAAACCTTCTTGTCAATAATGACAACAGTAACAGTAAGGAAACTAAGCTCAATGTTAGAAAATTTATCACATAAAAAAACAAATCGAAAACCACCATTTGTCAATGGTTCGGCTCCTAAGTTCGAGGAAAAAAGCTGCTTTTATTTTGTAAAAAGCGTACGTATTTCGTCGATTGTTAAATTTTTTTATGCTAAGTGTACAAAGAAAACAGAATTTCTTTTAATAAACTTCGCTTTGTTTGGGGTGTTAAAGTAGCTTTAAATGACAATTACTACGGACGGAACATTTATTGCGGTGATTTCTATTTTTTTGTCACATTCCTAATAACGCAAGCTGAATACGAAACTGATTTCTGCCATTTTTAGGGCCAGTTAAACCTATAAATTTCCAAATGATGTGAATGTAGACATCAAGTGCATGGATAATCTACTGCTGCTTGCGCAAAAAAGAATAATCGACCGAACAAATTTGATTCATCTTTGTATGAGTTGTAAATATACTCATGGCTTATAAGGTTCTTAAGGTTATCGTGAGTTTAGCAAGTGTACGGGTGTGACTGTCGTTCCTTTTGGGGTAGAAGGAAAACACGGAAAGAAAACGTAGTACTTTTTTGGGGTTGACTTTCAATGGAACCCAAATACATTGACCGTTACCTACCTTTGCAGACGTACATACAGACAGAGGTTTTATTTATTCGCTTTAGCATATTTTTTCGAATACGATTGTTCAGCCTGCGTTCTGGTTTCTTGTATTTACAAAAAGCTGAAAAATCATGACCGATTATTTTTTTCCTAGGTCAGGAAATTCAGAGGCAGTTATTTTTTAACGATGTTTCAAAATATTATGGAGCAAACTCGATCGAAGCTTCAATAAACTTACATATACGTCTTTTTTGATCCTCCATATCCGTCGACGTAGGTGTCTGCAGTAGTTGCACGAACAATCACAAAGATTGCATATATAAATATGAAACATTACTCCGTCGAGTGATGGAGGTTCGAGAATCAACCAACTAATAATTACGAAGTTCCTCACCTCTTGACTGTTGTGTTAGTGCTATGAAAGACAACCGGAATCAAGTTCCATGGAGTCCACTTGTAATACTCGAACACCACAATGACATCTTCGGTTTAATGGTAACACTAGATTTTCAATTTAATGGTCATTATTAATGCTTATTTCTCAGAGCCAATGAATTCTTTCAAACTATGTCTGAATACGTGGCTATGTTATTATTGCTACAAAATAAAAAGTGAATCTGAAAACGGCCGCTAAACTATCCTCAGCTGTTTCATGACGTTTTCCGCATCAGCGTAAACTTACAAAGCAAATATTAATTTTCTTTAGTAACCCATGCGAAACACATACTCAGACCGCGAAAGATGGCAATGCTAAAAGCAGAAAAAAAACTTTAGCGACACAAACACTAATCAAATGTTTTTCTTAGACAAAAACAGAACCATGTAGCAACTAATTATGTCACCAATTTGATTGCGTAGCTTCTAGGTCCAAGCGATATTAATTAAATTTGCATTAAAAAGAAAATAATGGTCTTTCGGTCAAAGGAAAATCAATTTTCCATGATCGATATCACAACCCTAAATTTAAATAAGTCGAACGCAGAGAGGTTCGCCGATCGCGCTAGCAGCAAAAAAGTTTTGACTTCATGCCACTTTTTTAGCTCTTTCTTTCTAGTCCAAGGAAATTGGTCGTGAAAATGATAAGATTATTGCTGTTAGCTTTTCAGTTTCTTTGCTCTTACATCGATACCAGCTGTGTATTCTTGTGACTCTATAAAGCACGTCAAGAGTGGCTATATATGACAGGGAAGTCTGAAGAATATAAATTTGCCAAGGTATCTTCATAGTCGATCTCATTATATTAAAGTAAAATCAGAATTTAAAGACGTCACTGAGTCACCACAGTTGTCTTTTACGGACGTCATTTAGATTTGCATATCAATTTATATTAATGAAAATACACTGACAATGGACTGCTATTTTGATGTCGTTTAATTTCTCAATGGCTGTACAACGAGTCTACCGCTCGTCATAATTCATAATATAAGAGAACTGTGTTCATTTTAAACCCTTCAAACTAATTTTGAGAGAAAAATTAAAAGGAATTCGAAAACCAAGCTTACAACAAGATTGATCAGATTGATTTCAATGATAGTCCCTTACACTTTTGTTTTAGCTAAAGCAGTTTCCAGTTAACCTTAAAATTATGATCTGAAACATGGAAGAGCAACATAGTAAAACCCCATTCGACCACTTTCATTTAGTTAAAGAAATCATTGAGGATGCTTGATCGTTCACGTCCCACAGAAATAAAAACAACGTAATATCTTGTTGTCAAATCAGCTGACTGTTATGAATTAAAATGAATATAATACACATTTGTTAAAATAATTTGAAAGTATGATCGTATCCCTCACGGTGTCGGTGTTTCAGTTTTAAGGTGATTATTCTTTACCTGCGATATCCCGAAAAATGTGACTCATGATTTAGCCTTTTTGCACGATCCATGAACTGAAAGTCGAGGCTGGAAGGTAAATCCCGTTTCCACCACGGGTCTTTGAATGAAAATAACTAATAGTTAGTCTTTTCTTCCATTCGAAGCCGACCATTTACATGGAGAGCAAACTAATCATGCAGCGATAATAACTGGTCGCTATAAATAATATCGCGGGCACATCTTTTTGCGTCCGCGTGTTGGAAACCAAATATTTCGCCGCGAAAGCATGTCTGTTTGTTTAGTAAAAGTGCAGCCATAATGAAGACAAGTCTTTAAAAAGTACAGATTATTCGTTTTTATTTGATATTACAGCTATAAAAGGCGAGTTTTAGATTTTATCTCTCTCAAAAGTACATGTGAAAGTAACAATTAGTCACTATACCCGGCCACGCGTAGGCCGACCTTTTCCGCAAGGAATATTATTAAATATAGTACCTTCTTTTTCTTTCCATAATTGATATTTTTAACTCAAAACGTAAAGAAAGATGTAATTGTGTGGGTGATAACATACAGAGGTCAGCAAAGGGACTGATTTTCATATTTCATCAAATGTTTTGGGGCCAATACAACGGGTAAAGTTTAACACGCGTGAGTGTCGCGCCACGCGAACCAACTATACCTCCGGGAAAATGGACAAATTTTGCCCCAAACTAAAAACAGTGGTAAGCGAACAAATCATTAATTTCAGAATTTTAAATGGAACTTGATATAACCAACAAATAAGGAGCTACAATTATTACCCTCTCCGGTCCAATACTGTTTAAAAGCAAGTTTTTCTTAAAAGTAATCATGGTAATATCAACTGGTTAATTTTAAAACATTTAATTTTAAAACATAAACGCTTCAAACTCAGCAGTTATGTTTGGTCTTTTCTTTTTCTTTTCTTTTTTTTTTATTATGGTTTCAGCTGTTATACGCCCCTCTCTAATCCCTTTTTTTGTATCAGCGTTAACGCTGATATAGAACCAGTTGCAAGCAATTGACTGTTTCCCACACAGCTAAAACATCAATGCAGTTTTGCGGAGCTTAAAATGTTAGCTTACCTGAAAAATCCATCTGTCGACTAAAAGAGTCCAAAAAAGGTATACTTTTTTTACTTCCGAGCAGGTTTCTTAATTTTCCCTATAGCAAAGTACACTTTATAGCAATCCCAATGTTAAGCCGACAGCAGAAACAATTCTCATCAAAAAAAAACTTTCTTTACGACTGAGAGAGAGCCATGACTTTTGCCCAGTTATTTTCTATTTGCATACTGCCTGGTCAAGAGTTCCGTTTTCAATCAGCTTTGAGCAAATACTTATATGAACTAAAATATCATAAAAGGATTTGTTTTTTCCCGCTGGTTTCTCAGTTCGATATTATCTCTCATGGATATTCCTTATTTTTAAGAAAAGGTCCCTTTTCTTTACGAATAAACATACATGGTAAAAAGAAGATAGCTTAAATCCGTTTCCGTGCACGATATTTTATATGCGTTGCAAGATTTTTAATAACCCAACAATATTTGCTGCGCTGAGTGACAAAATAGGCAGTTTTGAATATAGTGTTCAGTCAAATCCATTACCTTGCGGGGTTTAACGGCAGTATAGAAGTGTCATGTAGGTAATTGCAGCGGTCTAAAAGCGTAATAAAATCAATTAGCCTTTGCACCTATCATAAACACCTGTGCCAAAGTGCGTCAACATGGGTCGATAAATTTATTTTATCCACACAATGTGGCTGAAAGCCATGATCACGAAGATAACACTTCCTAAATGCGTTTCAAATTGTGAGCCAGCTGCGAGGTGTATGAATCGAAAACTATAGCTAGCTAGCTACTTAAATTATCTTGCGGTGGCTTTCATCGGGGAATGACGATCCCAAGCCCATCAAAAGAGCCGACTAGTTTTATATCGGCCTTAAACGAATTGAACAATACAATATACCTATAGGAGCTCATCTAAAGGGACTTTTTAAGGAACCAAGCAGGGAAAAAGGAACTGCATAACCGAGTACATGTGGGGGTCAAATGACTGACCGTCGGTTCAGTGATCCGCATAATCAATATATATCGCCTGAAGGGATCTATGGGACTATTTATACGACACGTCACCCACGCGCCAGCCGGGCTTCTACAGTTATTTAAAATTGGGGAGCTTAAAGGAGCTTTGTCACGAAATTTATCAAAATTCAAAGAGTGGGAACTGTCACCAAACTGAGTGAGACAAAAGTAACCACTCAAAATATTAAAAGAAGGTATAAATAACATAGCAAATACAAAACGAGAGAATGACACGAAGCTGTAATTTCGCCGCCATTCCCAATTAATTTCTCAAAATCCATATCGAGTTTTTAAAAGCTTCACTTATACGGCAAACGTCAGTTTTAAGTTGAGAATTTCTCAAAAAAGAAAATGAGCAGATAAAAACAGCTCAAAACAATTCTTATGGATAAAAAATTGCGTGAAACTACTAATTTAGGTGTAGAAATAATGAAGAGTAAACGACAGTGTAAAGAGGAAACTTGGTCACGTGGTACAAAATGACGTAAACGTGATGCTTAACCCCTCTATTAGCAAAGTGAATCAGACAGCCGTGATATTTTGAGCGACGCACTTCAACCGAACCTTTTCCATTAAAAAATGCCATTGACGCATACGTCTTGACGCTACCAAACTTGTATTGCTTAATAGTCACATGTCTGATATATTCGGTGGATAACGCCATACCTCTTTGAAACAACTGGGGCCAGGACATCAGCGTTACATACGGGGGGGGGGGGGGGGGGGTGCACCCCCAAATCCCCCCTATAGGGGGCGCGGGGGGGGGGGCTTTGGCCCTTGTGCTCCCCCGGAAAATTTTTCCCGGGAACTTTAAATGGTTGTCTCGGAGCAAATTGTTTTATTGTTTCAGTGGTAAAAAGGGAGGGCCGTACGAAGAACAACCCAGGGGGGGGGGGGGGTGATGAACTCGTCAATCGCTCCTATAGGGATCGCGCGGCGGATGATCTTGGCCATCGTGACGTCACGAGAAATTTATCCCGGGAACTTTAAATGGTTTCATCGAGCGAAATTGTTTCATGGTTTCAAGTGGTAAAAGTCGAGACGTTACGATGAAACGACCGAAGGTACGTGTTTATCTATTAATGCTATATAGTAAAATTGCAATTTATGCTAGGAAAGAGCATTTCCATCGTAAAAAATCAGGAACTTCCCGAGATCGACCCAAGATCGTCCGGACAAACAAACTACCAAGTTCACCCCCCCGGTTACATACTTCTCCATTATACTCTGCCAGCGACTGCTGACCGCTAAATGACCACCTGCAAATGATAAGAGAGGACTCGGGACGAGTCAATAGGTATTTGGAGATTAAACAATTTTGCAAAATTCCAAGATTTTATCAAGAACCCTGTCAGAAGCCTTACTCTGCCTTTGAATAACTTTCTTGGATCGAGTTCTCCGGTTTTATAATTATTTGCTGAGTTAATTGTGAAAGGTTGGGTCCGGACAACCATAGATTCTGCTTCATGACTTTTTGGCTGGCGTTGCCCCGCTGACCGAAAAGCCAAAAGACTCTGGGTAGGAGATTGCTTCATGACTCCATACTTTGAAGACAAAATGAAGACAAAAATCATAGCCATTGCAAGCGTTATTTATTAACTCAATAATCGAAATAAAAGACTTGAAAAGGCTGAGTGAGTGAACAAATATCTGTTAAACTTGTCAATCATAGGCAGAAGACTCTAAACTTGCCGTGGAGAAGTGAAAAGTTAAAAGTTTCACAAAGACAACTAAAAATGTAGAAATGTGTTTGATAACATAAAGGTTGTCATGACAGTTAAACACTTACAATCTTTTACACGTGCATGAAATCCGGAAAAATACTGCACTGTGATACAAGTCATGATCCTAATCGAGTCCAACTCTGAGCAAAATACGTAATCGTTTCGAATCTTTTATTCATACTAATATTCATTTTTCTTTTTAAAGTTTTGGTTGTTATCACTAAGAGCTAGTTTGACTTTCCACATACGACACAAACCAGAACACCAAAGCACCTGTCCAGTAACACACGCGCGTGAACCAGCGTTATTTTGGCGGGAAAACGTGATAGCCGTCGTCATTCTACTACGGGTTTTTGCGAGTATGTAGTTGTGTTGAAAAAAAGTACCATCTGAATGGAGCTTTCCGGGGTGTCTATTTTTTCAGAATACGCGACAAAAATTAAACGTCAATCTCGTTCTAGTCCTGGAATCCAAAGGTCTCTATTGTGCACAAAGAGATACAAGAAGACAGATTACCACAGAAAAAAAACTCAATAAGCAATGAAACCAAGGTGTACAAATTATTTGTTGACACGCGCACACAGTGACCAAAGAAGCCTAAGCTTTCATGTTGGTTACTGTCTTGTGTGGATAGATAAACAAGTCCAAGATATAAGCGTGCGCAAGGTCAGCGTGCGAAATTGTAATTCAGATATGGAAGCTTAAAAATTATATTCAGTTTAATTCTTTTTGTCTGCAATTTGATAATTGAAAGCTCTGTAAGAAAAGCAGAGAAAACGTCCGAGAAAATCGTTTTGAATAAAAGAGTAAGAAACCCGGATTAAAATTTGACCCCGGGTTAGCGCTAATCGACCTTCAAACAACTGGTACCTGGAGTCAAGAATGCTATTATTGGAATGCCTAATAATCCTCGCTTTCCTGAGTATAATAGTTGGTTGAGCTTTTCCTCGTCTCTGGACTGCGTTGCAAGCGTTTCCATGCTAGCAAAGCGTGAGCGATAGCGCTTTGCTCGCAAACGGACGCGACTTGCCAAACAGGGCCGAGTTGTTCAAAGCCGGGTTAAGATAACCCAGGGTTAGTGCGAGATTTGAATTCAGATTTGAAAGCTTAAAAAGCATTTCAGTTTTAATTCGTTTTGTCTACAAGTTGATGATTAGAAGCTCTAAAAATAACAGAGAAAATTATCCGTGAAAATGCTTTTGAAAACAAGAAAAAGAAACCTGGGTTAATTTTAATCCCGGGTTAAGCGCTAATCGCCGTTCGAACAACTGGGCCCAGGCTGGTTTGCGTCGTAGGAGAAACCAGACGTCAAAGTTTCATAGAAAATCCCAAGAGTCAAAAAAAAGTTCTCAGGGTGAACGTTGACTATGGTTACGTTCAGACTTGGTGCCCGGGCACGGTGCCCAAGTAAGCTACTCGCTGGTTACTGTATGAACACACCCGGGTGCGTCTGCGTTCACGTTTTTCGGCTTAGTTCCGAGGCAATCCATTGCCTTGCTTACCCAAAACTCCCTGTTTCGTTCATGTTTCAAAACGGCATCTGACGAGGCCATATGGAGCAAATATGTACAGAGCTGGGTAACCCAGGTGTGAACCAACACCACTTTGTTCCTTTTTGTCAGGCACTAGTACTTAGGCACCTAGTGTGAACATAGTGTTAGCTAAGATAAAAACTTTGAAAAGAGAGGCAGCGTTGAAATCTCTTTACATGTTACCACTTTTAAGATGCAGGTTAGTTGTATTTAAAAGTGCTACTTCTTTCTTCCGAGGAGGAAGACCTCAACACCGTGACCAAGGCTTGAGTTTCTTTACACCACGATAAACAAAGTGGTGTTCCCGAATTTAAACAAAACAAAACAAAAGTAAATAGCGATAACCGATGATGGAACTTTCCATTACTCAAATCTCATCATCGGAAGAGTGCTGCCCCCCTAACGAAGGCGTGGCTCCTATAGAGAACACTTCCTCGGATAGTTCTTTAATGAGCGCCGTGCTATCCGTGTCAGGGAAATCCTCAACCGGATTCATATCTTGGTCTACAGTTAAGTTATCAGATGGGTTAGCTTCCTTGCACTCAAAACTCGGTGACAATCTCGAGAAATTTGGATCCATTCCGATCTGCGCATCCGCTAAGCTAGCCAGGGGAACTCGATTACTTGGCTGGCTTCCAAAACCAGCGTACACGTGGGTAGGCGAGTTGTTCGCTTCGGAAGAAGATTCACTCGTTCCACCTTCGGAACCCTTTCGGGTATCTTCGGCAGTGTCATCATCATTGTTCTCCATGGGCTCGCCGTTATCGCTGTCTTCGGACGAGGACGAAGACGAAGATGACGCCGACGATGACGACGCCGAATCTTCGGAGTCCGAATTATCCGCAGTATCTTCGCTCGCATCCTCTCTCGGCTCCTCGTCGTTTAATTTCATTCTCTTTTTAACGGTGCCCGTGCCAGATACTACTCTATTCAACTTGCTCTGAGCCGCTGGATCAGAATCTGCTTCTTCCTTCGCAGATTTCCCATCGCCATCCTCCTCCGGCTTCCCTTCGGGTTTTTCGGAACCGCTATCGGAAAGCGTATTACTTCTTCGGCGCTTTCTGGGGCGAACAATCGGTCCCTCGTCATCGTCCTCAAACACATTTCCATCTTCTTCCTCAGCATTTCCGTTTAAAATCATCCCGTCCTTGGCGTTTTCAGTATGACTACCGTTAAGAATATCCACCCCGGTATCCTCGGGGTTTCCCATGTTCCCCTCGGGACTGTCACTGATGCTATTTTTTCCCTCCCCATGAGTCCCATTGACTGATTCGTTCTCCTTGTCGACAAGCGCCATGTTGGTGTGTACCAGGGGCGTCCACCTAAGCGCATCGGGATCCAGCACAGTACGGTTACTCTTTTTCAGCTTGTCCATGTGAGCGCTGATAAGGCGTTGGTTTACACACAGCACAAACCTGGTAAAACCAAGAGCAATCAACGGTTTTAACGTGTCCTTTGCTTAATTTATTTTCTTAAAATTACACGTTTCCTACGCTGAATTGATATTCTACTATCCTGTTTGAACTCAACTTTCATAATCGTCGAGACAAGTGAAGCAAACTGTAGTCAGGGTAGCATGATGCGGAGAGGGGGAGACGCCTCCCTCCCTTCCTCCTCCCCCCGTTTTTCCCCCTTACCCCTCCCTGTCTGATCTCAGTTATCGCCTCCTGCGTCCTATTTCCCACTAGAAAGCCTGTTCATAGTCTACACCAATTACCGCTAACAAATCTAAAAATCCCAGTCACTTACTTGCCGTCACGTTTGTGCACCATGTTAAGAATCTGCAGTGTAGCGGCGATATCGTGTGGATCCATCCCAGTCGCCTTGCTTATACCTGTAGAGCGTCAAATATTTCACTAGTCACTTCATTCAATGGAGTAGGTTACATTTCACAGGTACCCGAAAACCTCACGAACATTTTAAATTGTGAATGAAATACTAAGGTCTAACCATTCAAATGAAACCTCGGACAGAACTTTCACAAGCACGGTTCTATATACTTAGTTTGTAGTCCTACACTTTGAGGGTATTTCACCACTAAAGATTCGATACGAAGATTATATAATCCCAGGGCTTGCAAGCGGCAGTTTACGGTATTTCAAACTTGAGGATTTTTATATTAAGGGCCTGTTTACATGAAGTGGGGGACCCCGGTCTAGTGGGGTAGATTTCTTTTGTTTTGTGTTCCCCAGAGCGTGAAAACGAAAGAAACCAACCCCAGTAGACCGGGGTCCCCCACTCCATGTAAACAGGCCCTAAAGCAGAAAGCGTATCTTACCTCTTATGGTAACATGTCGTTCTTTGTGATCATGCAGGTACTCGAGCAAAATGCTTTTCCAGTAGCTGCGATAACTGATTAAACCGAGATCTGACAAAGGTTTCTCAGGTGAACCGGGTTGGCCTTCGATTCTCGACAACAGGTAACCTGCACAACGATTAAATACAATTTAACAGGGTTGGGACATCTATGGACATAAAGGAAGTGGGCTTCTTACGAATGACTAGCATAATGTGACTTCAGCATATCTTTGCAAACAATATTTGTAGCTCATCGCACGAGACATTTGTTATGCGCTAAACTGGCATAAGACTGTTCACAGGCCCCTGTTGTTCCGAAAGATCGCGGTCGAGCTCGAGCGCTCCCCGTCACTGGCTTGTAATTGGTTTCAAATGCAACTTGGGGGCGGGCGTCGCTCGGTCAAGATCGCGGTATGCAGCTCTCGTTCTTGGCGAACTTACGGAAAAATAGGGGACTGTAAAATGGCTAACTGACATATTTAGCCCGATGCAAGCGCTATTCAGACACACATGCAGCTTGTAATGTTGCAATAGGCATTTTTAGTCGTTAATCATATGATGTCTTCCTTGCTGCTGTCATCCCAATAAACAGCTCGCCTCAAGAGTTATTTGTAACACGTCGCATTTAAAATTTACAGTTCGCCACATACGAAAACCGTAGCTTGAGCCTTCTTCAAGCTCAAAGTTCTGTGCACGCTTTATCTACCTTTGAACATTCACAAAGTAATGTCTAACCGCAGACATTAAGACGCTAAATCTAATTACTCTACCAAAACTTACTGAAGTCGATCAGTAGGCGGCCATATCCTTGTCTTTGACAGTGCGGCATGGTCATGATACAAGAAACGTTGTACTTTTGTTGACACGACTTTTCCTGTTGTAACAAATTACAAAAAAAAATCAGCCGTTTCGTAATGTCCTTCACCCTGTACATAAACCTGAATGGAAACCCTTATCCTCATCAATAAGAAATGGCGTGCGTTTGTAAACAAACTATGGCAAAACGTCAATGGCACAGCAAAAAAAAAAAGGATTTTCAGTTTCATATAAAGTTGAGTTTAGAAGGTAAATTAAGGACTGTAAAGTTATTGAAAAGCTGGTGTTTCGAGGGCTTACGAGTTCTCCGGATTTCAGTGACGGGAATGATGGAAGCATTTTTTTGAGTCTGAAATTTCCGATTCCGAGATATTTTTGGGAAGGAAAATTTGGCAAGTATTTTTTGGGGTGGATTGAATTTAGTGGGCATTTTTTTGGACATTCAAAACAACCTGAAGATTCATGGTAGTGCCTGCGTATCCCAGCCGCGTAGTTCTGCGAATAAAGTACAACCAAACTTGTTTTGCGTTAATAAGTTTAACGCATTAGATGATTACATTGTATCTGTGTCGTAAACCCGTTTAATATACAATTAAACAATACTCTGCAAAAAAATTGATGTCTTATCCATCGCATTTATCGCCCAGCTTTTTCTTTCGGCACTGGATTTTTGGGGTGTAAATGTTTGGTCCAAGGATTTTTTTGGGTTTTGATAGAAGTACTACGGATTATTTTGGGTTTTGATTTTTGCCCCCATTCGATCACCCCCGTAACCAAGAGATCATAATAGAACAAATACGGATTATCCCAGTCATGTCTTGGCGATATTATTTTTAGAACTATGAGGACCATGCGGAAACAGCTTCCGGTAAACTAGTTGACTTCTGGAAGACTCGCGCGAAGCAAAGTCTCTCCACATCGTCCCTCCATTTAGGCTGCCATTTTTTTTTTTTTCATTTGTCGACTCCGCCTCGCTTTGACGCGCTGAATCGTGACAGCGAGTCTTCCGGAAGTCAACCAGTTTACTGGAAACTGTTTCCGCACGGCCCGCATAGTTCTAAAACTAACTTAAATTAAGATATCTCGGCCAACGCCTTTAGACTCCCTCTCTCTCCTATCATGATCTCTTGACGTCACTTGAAATCCAGAGTACTCCTCCTGGGCATTGGGTCTCTCAAAAAAGGCCAATAATGCAATTTGATCTAAGAAATTAAATATAAAGCAGCCGCAGCGAAATTTCTTTTTTTAAGCTCATTTAGCAAGGATAACGAACGCGACGACAGTACCGATGGCGCGCGCAGATCTCAAAACTGAATTGACCAATGGCAGGGCGGGAAATTGAGCACCGGAAGTCGTGTTCAGTCCTTTCCGCGCGCTTTCGTGTTCTCAATTGACGTTACGTTGTCTTTGCTGAATCTGCCTATCATCATTCAGTGAGGCACGAAACTTTCGACGCTTTCTGCTAACACGAAGAGGAAGATTTTCGACAAGGCACCGGGAAAAACAAACTAGTCAATGACGTGAACGTAACACTTCAGGCGTCACGCCTTAGAGGTTCATGGAAACGGTTACCTTGACTGCTAATAGTTTCACTAGCGAGAAAATATTTCCTATGAAAAGATAACCCTTTTTTGTTAATTAAAACAAAAAAATAGAGAGACACACCTTGGAGAAGTAGCCCACTAAATGGCAGCCCTTCTTGTCGTTTTTCGTCAAGGCATAGAACAGGAATGGTTCCACATCATAATACAGAGTCTTATGATCAAGAAACAGTTTGGCTAACAGACATAAGTTCTGGCAATAGATCTAAAACAACAAATCATAGTTACAACACACAGGTCAGCTGGATTCTGGGGAGAAATACTGATGACAAGGCTTAGGCCAAAGGCGACGCCTATCGGTTAATCCCCTTTTGTAAACGGCCGATACAATTTCTAACAGTCAATGTCATCATTGTAAAACTGGGACCAGACGCTCCCTTCTTCGCTCGCCGATTTTAATATTTATTTATTTGTTGTTTTTTTTTTTTGCCTTCTATCCTACTGAGGAGCATAGTCCCAGGCTAGACTACATCGTTGGTAACGAAAGCTTCAGCCCTATACACTGACTTGTGTTACAGCAAGGTTAACAATAACATTTTTGCTAGTCTGAAAAATTAAGTTCCAGGTTGATTTTGAATCATTGGGGTAGGGTATGAAGATTTTCAATGACAAGTCAACAAACTTCCTAGTCTCAAAATGTAACACACTTCGAAAAAAACTCGTCAATGAAGCCAATCCAAACCTCTCCTTCTTGGAGTTCAGTATTGTAAAGTTCATACCCGTCAGAGTCTGCATTCTAATTATAGACCGGTGAGGTCCAACAGTTGCGTTAAACAAACTACAAAAGCCAGAAGGATGTTGACTATAACCTTATTAACGGCACCATCCACTTCAAATACAGAGATATCGTCTTTACGGTAGATTTCGTTTGCTGGAGGATGAAACCATTTACACTTTGTCTGTAGAAAAAGAGAACACAAGCCAATTAAATCATGCCTTGTTTTTGTTGAGCTTGTCCGAGAATTAAACACAACTTCCATGGACATAATTATACAGTCTAATCTCTATTAGTCACCTTTTGGTTGCACTCGAGTCTGCTTTTGTGCTGTGTCGAGCTGCACTTTTTTGGGGACTATTTTGGGAATGGGGATGCTATCGCCTCTTTTATATGTTGGCATTACAAACAAAGATGGGAAGGAGAGTACGCCAAAATTGGTCCCACAAACACTTCAACAGTGCAATTCGACACGACCGTGGCCCAGTCTTACGCAACACCTCATGGCCAATTAAGCAAAGACAAGCCGACGACGCCTATTTCCCCTATTTTCAATGGTCGATGCCATCACTGGTAACCAAGAATTTTGTCATGATAAATGTAATATATTACATCGTAACGGATGGCAAGGGTGGACGCGGATGGAAACTTGGAAAAGTTGGGCCAAGCTTTACAAGTTTTAATGATATGCCTGCAAAAATCACCAAAAAAAATTGTGATGGTTAGTGCTCCCTGACGAGACTTGTTTGATATCTTCTTCATATCTCTAACGAAACATTATTTTTTGTGTATGGGTCGTTAAGGCACTAAGTAATGAGTTCAGCACATAATTGACCTAAAACAACAATATCCTCATGAAGCTAATTATCTGATTGTGAAGTATTTTCCGTCTTTCATGATCAGCACATCTTTAAGACAAGCTGATGAACGATTGAGGGAATAATAGCCAGCCTTGGTCAGCGATAGCTGGCGATGAAGAATTAGCCGAAGGATTAAAGTCAATTAGAGACAGAAATGTATTCTAAATGAATAATTTCGTGCTACAGTTAAACCTCTCTACAACAGCCGCCTTGGGGACAGAAGAAAGTGGTCGTTGTAAAGAGGTGGCCATTGTGAATAGGTTGAAACATGGACTGTCTGCCAAAAAAAAAATGGCCGTTGTAAAGAGGTGGCCGTTAGTGGAGGATCGACTGTAGAAGGTCATTACTAAATCAGTAGATTACCATATGACGCATCAAAATGCTTGAACTCTTCATGTACTTCAAGCAAAACTCGCACAAGTAAAGCTTTGGAAGTCTGCAAAACATGACAAATTTCAAGCTATTACTTTAGGCCCTTGGGCTAAAATATGTTTTAAGCAACGTTGTGTAAAAGCACCTTACAAAAAACATAGTAGGATGAAGCTACAACCCCGGACAAAACCTGTTGAGACAAATCGCGAAAATGCCTATTTTTTCCTGTCATCCCGGCAAAAACTGAAACCTCCGCCAAGTGAATGCCCGATTTCCCCCCTCCCCTGGTCCAAAGTTGTTTAGGATAGCATGGTAATTATACACGTTGGTTTTTAGACCAAGACAACTTTGAATAGGGGGTGGGGAGGGGGTTTACTTTTTGTCTTTAGGGGAGACTGGAGGAGGGCGCAAAAGTTAGAAAATAGATGGAATTGTCTCAACAGTTTTGTCCGGGGTTGTAGGACCGAAATACCATTCCAACGACTCAGACACGGTGAAAATCTCTTTTCTTTTTTCGGGTTACAGAACTAGGAAAGTCAAAGCGTCAGTGAAATAAACTAAGCCGACAAAAACACCCAATCAAAAAATCTTTTTAACCCATAAATCCAATTTAAGGGGCAGAACGAGACCATGTAAACTTGCTAATCGGATAGTGATGCTCATCACTTTACATACATACACTGTTTACAGGTAGCCTTTACGACTCCTGAACAAGGGGGATCGTGAGGTTATCCCTACATTAAGATCTCTCATTACAGATAACCCACCCAGCACAGGAGAGGTTGGCCACACCACCGGGATCTACGTCCCCTACTCTTTTTGAACAGTGATGTGGATTCTTTTACGTCCCACAAGAACAAGGTAAGCGCGGGTGCTGATAGACGAGACCTACGGTTTTGCGTCCTTATCCTTTTTCAACTCACAACATTTTAGTTTCCACAATCGTTTGTTTGGTGTAATTTGATTCGTTTGGTTCTTGTTTGTTTCTTACCTCTGTTCAGAAAAAAAAAAAATGGGGGCCAGCTAAATGCTAGTCTACCAGGCACTTATTTTTGTATCGTCACGCAACGCTCCTCCGTTTACTGGCCTGTGTACAGCCGCCCCCTCCCCTCGGTTGATTTAGCAACAGAACGGGAACGCCAGTTGACGACGGCGTGCGCAAATCAAACAACAGGCTTGACCAATGCCTGAGCGGCAAATTGGGCTCCGGAAGTCGAGTTTAGTCCTTTCCTCGCGCTTTCTCGTCATCAAATGACGTTCCCATTCTGTTGCTAAATCAGCCTTAATCGGGGCGGGGGCGGGTGAACACAGTGTAGGAAACTCCTCGTCTAGGGAATGAGCATTGGGTGACGACACAAAACCAACTGCGTGGGAGACCCACTAAATACCCAAATGATAACAAAATGGGTCCCTTGAGGAAAGAGACATGATTACGTAAGGCACAACATGGGAATTTTTATACCTAGCATACTCCTGAGGGTATGGTGAGGAATACCATGTGACAATCTCATAGCGACCAAACTGGATTAGCGGTGGTGATCGTGTGCTCGGCACAAGAGGAGTTGTGGTGTCCAGATTCATTGCAGCATTGGCTTTCTCTTGAGCTTGTTTGAAAAGTGCTAAATCTTCCTCTGTGACTCCTAAAATAGGTACAAGGTTTCAATGGTTATTAGAACCCAACTTCTAAGTGTGTGTTTACATCAGTACCAAGCGAGTGCCGTATTCAGGCACCGTGCCCGGGCATCAAGTGTGAGCGCTGCCTAGGGTCTTGAACTTGTACTTTGGAACCGGCACCATGCCCAAATTCTGGTATGGGTACAAAGGGCGTGTTCACATCAGCGTCCAGCGAGTGCAGTACTCAGGCACTGTGCCCGGGCACGAAGTGTGGTTAAGCATGTCAGCAACCGAGGAATTTAAAATAAAGAAAGCCGAAAACTTAGGTTCAGTAAGATTCAGAGAAGTGACAAAGTGATGGTGTACAGTGTAACAATCAATAATTTACCATGAGATAGCTGCTATAATACCAGCTTTTTTACCGTTAAGGAAGTGAGAACAAAATTCTATGGTAATACCATTCAAATGGAACCTCTTCAGCAGAACTTTATTTCTGAGGATTTTACAAAGCAGAAATTTTTCAGGCTAGCACAAAGAGTGAAAGAGTTAGGAACAGACTCTACAAAACTGTGAAAATTGAGCCTGCGACCAGTAACGCAACCTGTCAAATTTTCGACGTTCGAGTTCGCTACTTACATACTAGGCTCGCTGCCCATTAGCAAAATCCAAAACTTGTTACATTGGAGGGGCAAGCGTAAAAGAACGAGAGAAATATGTTACAAGATCTTTTTTGAAATGGGATTAAGGAAATATCTTCAAAGGTTTACAGAAAGTACTATGTAGCAAACAGGTAGCGAACTCGACAAGTAGCGAAATCAGCTGTTACCCCTGTAACGAACCTGGCGGCAGTTGCTGTTGTTTCCTAGGTGATGTAGGCGACAATGGAGTTGCAGGGGTAGACTTGGTTGATGCAGGCGGTCTGCCTGGTCGCCTCCTGGGCGTCTCGTCAATGGGCTTAGTATCTTCCTCCACCTTTTTGCTTTCATTTGCAACTGGGCAAGCTGGAAGACTGTGACACAACAGAAAATGTAAGAATCGCTACCACTTTTCATCCTGGGGTTTAAATGACAAGGTTAACCAGCCATAGGCCAGAATGAAAAGAAATGGAATAAATAACTCTAGAAATGGCTTGTTCAGGAACTGTTTACAATACGCATGTGCTCCATCGTGTTGTCAGAGGCATGGAACAATTAACAAGGCAAAATTGTTTTGGAAGGGACAAGACACTACCCTATAAAATCTCTCAGAAGCTGGCTTTTCTTCACATCTACCTATAACAGTGAAGCATAAATGATAAGAAAAACCACATTACACCTCTTTCAGAGATATTCATCAGTTAGTCAGTCAGGGCCGGACAAAAACCAACAGGACAAGCAAAACTGTTGAATAAGAACAAACAGGGAAGCTACTGGAACATTATACTGACTGCCGCCCGGTTAGCTCAGTTGGGAGAGCGCCGGTCTGCTGAGCGGGAGGCCGTGGGTTCAAACCCCGGCCGGACCAACACTCAGGGTCTTTAAATAACTGAGGAGAAAGTGCTGCCTTTGTAATGACATCTGCAAATGGTTAGACTTTCTAGTCTTCTCGGATAAGGACGATAAACCGTAGGTCCCGTCTCACAAGCCTTTGCACATGTAATAACACTCCACACACTCTTCGTAAAAGAGTAGGGCACGTAGTGCCCGGTGTAGTGGTCTATCTCACTTTCACACTCATGTATGGGGGCATCATCACTCATTCCTTCAGTACTTGTAAACTGCAACTTAAGCAGTCTGGCAAAGTCCCACAACCAGTGTTGTAAATTATCCCTGAAAAGCCTTGTGGGGAGTGGATAATAAGATATTTACAATTACAATTTACAACTGTACATGCATACCTTCTATGAGATGTAAATCGTCCATTAATATGCCCTGAACCATCACATCCCGGAGTTGGACACATACCACTTGACCTGACGGACAAGAAAAAACATACAGTACCTGAAGCTAGTTTTCCCTTTGTTGTTACAGTACATAAAAAGACGTGGTACAAAACTAGTCGTTTAGCAGAGATGATATGAATGAAAAAAAAAATTAGGATACGTAAGAAAACAAAGAAATAACAGTGCAATCCACATCAATACACCATGCACATTTATCAGTTTTGATACCCAAACGAAACTCTTTAGTGCAAGTTTTGCAGGAAAGGACTCCCAAGCATGCCCCATAAATGAGCAATTTCTAAATGGGCTATAGATTCAAACAAAGAGCATACAAAATTGACTGGTAAATTCAAAATAAATTCTTTAAAAAGATAGTCACATTCTTCAATGTTATCCACAAATGACTCCATTTGACTGACCACATACCCCTCCCTTAAGTCAACATTAGCACTTACTTCTCCCTTAAGGCAAAGTGTTGGCTTAGGGGAGGGGTAGGTGGGCAGTTTCACAGAAGCCTAAATTGATCCAACTTTTCATACAAGAAAGGGATCTAGTAAAATCTCAGCCAAAATGGCAAAAAAATGGCACATCAAGCTTGCTCTACTTTTTTCACCAAAAAAGCTGTATTGCAAGCAACATTTTGGACAGTTTTTAATTAGTTCTTTTTGTCTAAATGGTGACTATTTATAGAAGCATCCTCTGTTCCATTAATTGTAAAAAAAAATAACAGGAAAAACATTATCACTAAGCTTAAGCTACATGTAGCAAAGAAACTATAACACGCCCAGCAAACACTCCAGATAATCACTAAAGAGGACTCCCTTGAATGCTACACATAATGATGGTTTCACTACTGATCCACTCACCCTTGAACTTCAGCTGTTGCCTGTGGCTGGATTTTTCTGCGTGGTGGGCTGGTTATAGGTGTTTCAACTTGTCCTTTCTTTTTCCTTCCAGGAGTTTTGACTTTACACCCTGAGCAAACCCAGCTGCCTGCAGAAGATTCACCAAAATTAGTAAACCCCCAAATCTAATAATAGCAATAATAAGCAGGTTCCTTAAATTCTAGCAAGACTTGCCTTAAAATCCTACAAGCAGCAGTTTTATTTTACAAAGCTGATTTTCTGATGGCCTTTGATCCACAAAAATTGTCAAGGAATTATTGTCAAAATTCGGGCATATGTGGGTATGTGGTTTAGTACTGTAGTGGCATAACAATAGCTATGGAAGTTGCAATATATTTTAAAAAGACTATTTAAACTCCTACTACTTGACAGTCAGTGAATGACTTTCATCCACTGTTTTTCGCACACTGATTAAAATCACAATCAGAATACCCCTGGCCTTCATAAAATCCTAGGGCCAGAGAACACTGTTAATAAGGGGAACCCTCTTTCAAGACACCACTTGAAAATACCTGATGGTACACAGAACCTACCTGTAGGTGTTTCAGTCATAGGAGGTGACAGACATTCCATGTGAAATCCCTTGTCACATGCATCACAAAACAAAAGGTTATCCTGAAACAGAACACATCACATGAAGTCAACAGTACCCAACAACCTTTGACTGTAAAATACATGTAACTGTTTGAAGGACCAAATATTGCCTAAAAATTTCTAAAGCCAAAGAAAAGCTGAAATTTTCGGGATCATTCTACTCATCTAAGACATTTAGAGTTTTTCTGACTACTAATTACTTTTAACCTGTGAGTTTTGAAGACCATTCATTTTTCACATTTTTATTACAAAACTATTGTGATTATGTGTTTAAAAAAAGATCACCTGAAAATTTCAGTGCCTAAAGACAAAACTACCCATAGAATTCTCAAATGAACCTACAGCTACTCTATGCCCTCAAACTTTCAAAAGGACTCATCAGGGTAGGTAACAGTTTTCAATGAGACAAAAATGCCACCTAAAACTTTTGAGACAACCAAAGTTTCCCCAAGACTTCTGAACAGATAATAGTTTTTAGGGCAGCTCGAAATTAACCAAACAGGCTTCAAATATAGAGAAAACCATTTAAGACATTTCTGACATATTTGAAAAGACTTTTGTGAGTCATATTTGGGTGCCCCTGATGAAGTCTAGTATCGTTTTTAGCACCACATACAATATGTACTTTTATGAGCATATGTACTTACAGCATTTCCAGCATCACGACAGACAGAGCACACTTTACACTCAATGCACTGCCAGGGTTCTTGCTTTATACGAGCTGTTAGCTGAGGAGAGTACTTCAGGCATGAGGGGTGACCTTTGGAAATATTTTTTAAAAAGTGTTTAAGAAGTCAGATTAAACACTGCAAGTGACAGTAAAATAATATTGTACGTTATAACTTAAACTATCATGAATAGAGTCTATTATGATTGTCTTTTACAGTGGAACGTCAATTTAATGAAGAGCCAAGGGACTGACAAAATTTGTCCAATATAACGAGGTTTTGTTATATCAAGGTTCTTTTTCATATATCTTACTAGTACTGGGGTAAAGGAAAACATTTGTTTTATCGAGGGCTTCATTATAATCTAGGTTCCACTGTGTCGAGTAAAGGTCTTTTCAAAACATAATAGTCAGACCCACCACTGTTTCCACAATCAGCGCAAGAAATAAGCTCTTCCTCTTCACCATCCTTATTACAGTCAGCTGTTCCCAGACAAAACCCACAGAAGGTGCTTGCATCAACTTTCTTCTTCTTTATAGGCTGAAAGATTGTGCACATTCAGGCCCTAATTATCTTGAGATGCATGAACCTTGATGTTTTCCTTTTTGTTTATCTTGTCAAAGGTATTTGGTAATATTATTGTGCAATTGGATGTAATGATGTTATAAATCGATGTATTCATATGCATATCAACTCGCTTTGGTAAACAGCAACCTGTATATTATGCAGAGCATTGAAAAACTTATCAGAAGTATGGACTCTTGCAAATGTCTTTTTCCTCAGGCCCCAGTTGTTCAAACATTTGATAGCGCTATCCACCGGATAAATCACTATCCAACAGATAAGTGTTAGGGAAACCAATTGCGCTATCCAGTGGATAGTGATTTATCCGGTGGATAGCGCTATCCACCTTTTGAACAACTGGGTCCAGGAAAGTAACAAAAAACAGTGTCCCAACAAAATGCAGATTTTTGCCTTTGACAAAAGACTTTGAAACTTGCTAACCATTCATGATATGTCTTAGTCAAGAGTTAACAAAAGCACCCAAAAAGTATTTCATTATGACTCTATGTACTTCCTCAGATTAGGACCAAACATTTTAAATGCTGTTTTATTAATAGAAGCCTCTTTAATTTTACTTAATTGTCTATTGTAATCCAGAACATTTTGTTTTTTGGAACTAATAAAGAGCTTTATTTATTTATTTCAAAAGAGTATTTCAATATGACTCTAATTTACTGCCTGCAGTCATTCAAGAGATTTAGAATCAATTTCAGAATCAAGTTGACAATTTCTCAAATTAGGAATTTAGTAAGCAGTTAAACTCATCAATTGAACAGGGGAGGGGAGAGGAGGTTCCTCAGAGGCTGGTGGAGCCAAGAACTGCAGCCCAGTGCAATGCATAACCATGACACCCCTAAGAGTGGCATCCACCCATTTGTCTCCAGTTTAACTTAGCCTTACTTTTATAATTAGCCACATATCAAAGCTGTCCAAAATAATTCATGAATAAAACTGGTACAAACTATTAATTTACTTTTGTGTAAATAAAATAATTAATAGTAAACAATAAGTTTGCTTTAAGGGACAAAGTTGATCATATCGTGCAAATTGACAGCGTTGTAATTATACTGTATATTTGATTCTGAATCTCTACAAAAACCATGGATAAGAGCCCAGAGTTTGCAAAATGAAATCTGGCATTTCTTGACACTTTGATATTGTCACTTCTAGAAATGAAAACCTGGCCAATCCCTCCCCACCCAAAAATCCAGTGATCACAATTTTCCTGTGTAACATAATATAGTTTTTAATTCAATGACTGAAAATTAACCATTAATTTATCCTCAAGACCATGTTATGGAGAGTTTATTTGTCACTATAATGTTGAAAAGCCGCGAACAAAATTTGCCTGCCAGCAGTGGCTTCCTTTCCCTGGCATTCAGCAAAAAAGGGAAGAACGAAATCCAGTGTTGTCACCATTTAAGTTAAATGAAACCTCACAGGCAAATCTTTTGCACATTAGTACAAAAATACATATGTATTTATGTCTTAGGATTTTACAAAAAGAAATTTGAATTTTTTTGTGAACTTTTTCTTTGGTATATATTACGAATAAATTGGTGAAACTACAAAGACCATGATATATCTTAATCCTTGCACATACCTTTGGCAGTGAAGCAAGCCTGTAATATCGACCCTCCTTGATGAAAGTTGAAGAAGCAAGTCCTTTCTTGAGGGCTTCTTTGAGTCGCGTTTGAGTATCACTACTTGAATCCAAACTCTCTGCATGTCGATCAGTTATATAATTAGCAATTTGTTGTTGTGTGCATCCATTCTCATCCCCAACATTCTCTAGAGCTTCCCTGATAAATTTCATGAAATCTTTCGGCTTTTCCACAGTTCCCCGCATATGCTTTGGAACCTTAGCAGGGTCCTTGTAGGAGGCTTTGTCCTTGAAAACTACTTTCAGGACTTTCCCTGCTTTAACGCAGAGCTCAAGTTGTTCCAGTGCCACCTGCTGGTCCAATCCATAAACAGTCTCTAGAATGTGGGAAATCCGATCCTCACTAGGACGTTGCTTTTGCCCTTTGACCTTGCCTATCGCCGCAATTATCCAAAGTGCATACTTAGGATCTGGCTCACGATCCTTGTCCTTGTCCTTGTCTTTTGCCACTCCACTTCTTCCCCTGGCCATCTTGAACCCAAACCCTCAAACTTGAAAGGGAGCCTAGAAGAAGCACACAGAACAAAGTCAGCAAAAAGGCTTCATGACTAAAACGGATGGTCCCCAAACCCATGTTGGACACCTTGTGAGTTACTAAACAATACAATGCTTATGTTAGAGAAATCTTTATTTAGCACATTTAAATATGAGATAAGGATTGTCAAAATTAGCCAGCTGCCGGTGAAAATGGCTGCCTACTTAGTTAGTAACGGCCGGCTACTCTGCCTGGCAATTCTTTACGGAAAGCGTTTTTTAAATAAAACTTCCCTGGACTGGCCGCTTCCTTTGACAACTCAGCCGTCCACTTCAAAACTTTCTGACAACCCTGTGAGATAAGTGTGAAAATCAGAAAGAGCAGATTGTGAGAGGAAAAGAGGTGACTATAGCCTTAAACACTGAAGTAAAGTGATGCAGGGCTAAGCACTCTTCAAAAAGGTTAGCTTTCAAATAACGTAATGAGCAATGCCATGACCAAGGGTCATTTTAATTAGGCTAAAAGATTTTTTTGATGAGCAGGATTGATTACTGTTCTTCTATAATTTGAATTCCCTAAAAACTTCATGATCACTTGCCCATTGGGCAAGTTAAAAAGAGAACTCATTAACGTGATAGCAGACTCCACTGCTGGTCTAGGGCCATTGGACACAACTTTCTTTGCATGGTACATTTTCAAGCCATGTATGTAAACCTGTAAATTAATCTGCTTCTTTCTCTCTTCTATTTACTTAGTCAAACAACATACTTATGCTTACTGTAATTAAAAGTGTCATTCTCATTTTTCCCACATTTTTCTAAGTTAGTGATGACAGATAGGAAATCTTTAATTAGAAGGAAAAAAGCGGAGCAAAAGATAGATAACCAACAATAATTATTTCAATTCTCATATTCACAAGTAAGAATTTTTTACAAAATCCGTATACCAGAAAACTTACCGCTATAAAGTTAAAGGGATCGCTTGACATAATACTAGTAATGCCCATCACTAAAATAATTATATTTGGTTACTTACTTAGAACACATTACTCTACCACCTACATCAAATTTAACTTAGTGTAGTGAAGAAAGAAGAAATTAATAATTAATATTAGAAAAAAGAATAAAGAAATTATTATAACAAAAACATAGGAAATTCAAATGCATGTATAGCAGAAGAAAGAAATATACTTTCAAACATAATAGTAAAAAACTAACTGCAATTCATATATTGATTTTTATAAACAATTAAAAGAATAACATATTTTCAAAATATTATTTTCTCATACCTAAATAATACAAAAAAATCAATAATGCCTTCAGAAGAAGTAGATAAAAATACAATTTTGAATATCAACTTGGATTTGCAAAAATGCAGCAAGACTTTTTTTCAAGATGAACATGTATCATTAAATCACTGATGCTGTATAAACTAAAGCTGCAATAGCCATCTTTTGAATTTTGCTATGCATGGCTTTGAAATTTAAATTTACTTAATAATGAGATCGACACAAGACTTTTTCAAGATTGTACATATCATTGAATAACTGATACTGTAACTATATATGGCTACAATAGCGGGCTTTGAATTTTACTATGAGTACGAAATTATTAAGTTAGTATGTGTACGACTTTCAAATTCAAGGTAATAATGGGGACAAAATCATCAATTGTGTCCCCCATTAACGGCAACTCATTCCTGTTGCTCCCTAGCTAGCATGTAAATAAACATCAGGGATGCAATTTGCCAATGTGATAAGTAATTACATGAGACATGTGAAAACCTGAAAAATCATAGTCGCAATCAATTTGTACTTGTAGCCTAACCTACATTTGTTGTGAATGTCCCCAATATTATTATGATGGTGTTCAACCTGCTCCTTTATCCGCTGCCTTAAATATTATTTACCATGCCCATGATATTAACTTACAGTAATTTATTAAAGCTACCACTCTGAAAATTTGTACTGTTGAATGAATAGTTCAATAAAAATCTAACCTGACCATTAACAGTATTTGAAGTGATCAATCCCTTGGAAAAAATGCCAAGCAAAGCTATATGTGTCTTACCGCATCTGCCGTTTGAATAAAATTAACGATGAGTCATGTTTTCTAATCTATACAAAACTCACATGTAAAACAAAACAATGTATTAATGAATTTGTCACATTTTCTGCATCAGATTAGCATTTCTCTTAATGTCGAAAAAAAGATAATAAAAAAAATCTTAAAATATAATAATCTAGCTTTTCAAACACTGCAAAACCAAAAACTGCAAAACCAAATTCCACATTTTATTTCTTACGTTTCTTGATATCAACTTCTATTTAACCTATACATCAGCCTAACCATAGTCACCGAAGATATGACAAGGAGACTATGAAATGACAGGTTTTAAGATGCAAATGAAATTTCTAATTGGTCCCAGAAAGTACTTAACACCTTTCCATGTGTTTTTAAAATGATAATTTTGACAAGAAAAAAATTTAATGACAAAAGTGTTCTGGTGGAAAAGGATATTCTTCATGTACTTAATCTGCATTTAACAACTTAAGAAACTCCTCTTATTTTTATATGTGCATGAAAATATATAGTGTGAGAGTAAGACTTAACATTTTAGCCATAACATCTCAAATTATTATGTTCCCATTTAGTATGCCAGCCATCAAAGAAACATCATTATAATGTCAATAATGACACCTGAGTAAATATAATAAAATAACAATCTTTGAGAGGTCCATGTAATATGTGATGGATGGTAAAATCAGAGACTCTGCTAAAAAAAATAGGACTGCGGTAAAAAATTTTAAAGTCTGAGTTAGGAAAACAAGACTTTGAAAAAGGTCAAAAAGGCTCTTAGACTATGAGATCTGATGGAAAGTTTTAAAGAGCCATACGTTTTCTGTCATCATTTTCCAACCATACATGAATTTGCGAAAATTTTATCTACAAGTTACAAAAAAGTACTTTTCTTATAATAAGCTTTCAAAACTGTCACATTGCAAATGGATAGTCCTTTGAATCACATGAGATGGAATAATTTTCATTTGAAAAGAGCATGTGGTTAATTGGATTCTTTTGTCTGAAAACAATACAATGAACATGTGATTCTTAAAAAGTGACTGGTGTCTTGAAAACATAACGTTGACAACAAACTATTAACAGCAAGCAAAGATCTGAACAACTGAGAGTAACTTTCATTCACTTAACAAGACTGCATACTCCTCAACTTAGCTATAAAATGAAGATACATGAGCATTTACTACATAATACTCATGAAACAACAATTTGTCATATAATAAAGAATAGTCTGAAAACATGTCAACATTGATGGAAACTCTGCTGGTGTCAATAACAATAAACTTGTATGTCTGAAGGAGTGGAAATATTTCACCTGAAAGAATTTTATAGTCATCTCTATGATACACACTGACATCTGTATTAAGCTCATGAGTCTATTTTTCAGACAACCTTACTCGTCCTGTGAGACTAAATAATTATAAAGCAAGTAACTTAAGTTTGTAAGAAAATTCAAATATTTAACCGGTTTAACGACAAACTATCCCAAATAACATCTTCATCTTCCATCGGATTATAATTCATACAGTAAAAACACGAACAATTCTTACATTGTCTAGAAACGTTGTTGTTTTGTTGAGCCAATGCGCTACTTCAGGCCTCTCTAAAGAGGTTTTGTGAAAATAACATTCAGTAAAAACATCAACGTCTCGTCAGAGCTTGCAGTTCAGTACTTCATGGTAATTACACAGAGTAAAATCTATTAGCGTAGATTTGGTCAGATAATTTAATGTTAATCTCTTCTGCATACTGGCATAAAATCAACGCTTTTTAGAGGAAAAAACGAGTATAAACTTCGCTTCAATTGCCCATACATATCAACAATACGTAAGATTACGTTTACCAAGAATAAGTTTATGAAGAGACACCTCACCGGTTCTTGTTCCACGAATTTCGTTTGGCGTTAATATCCCTATCTTTCACTTTCTGGTCTTGTTTAGCGACTTTACTCAACAAAAATACTCATACAATTTCCGGCAAGAGGAACACTCACCACACTGAACTTACAAAGGCCACGTGAAAGCGACCCAATTGTAAGGACGTTTTGCATATCGCATGTGTTCATCCACAAAGAACAACACATGCATTTCATGAAACATTCACCTAATTACCTCAGATTTCAAAATATTGCCATCAAAAGTTCTCCAGGTGATAGAAGTGGAATCAAATAATTAATCCTTTCCACCTCTACTGCTTCAAAACAAACTGTTTCTTCATATCCCGACGAATATACGAATTACATCTTTCGCAAATGTCAGGTTGACGCCATTTTGCATAATCAAGAAAAAACGTAAAAAGGCGATTGGACGAGCTAAATTATGTTAATTATTCCGCTGAGTATGTGTTTATTTTTATTTTTATTTTATTTTTATTCTTTTTTTTACTTTTTTAAATGTAATCGCTACCTGGTAAGTTTCATTTAACAGAGCAATTTATTCGTTCTATCTATTTTAATCAAGTCAGGAGTTTGTATGCATTGTTTTATTGTTCAAAGATTCAAACTCTGTTAATCCGCTGCAATTTATAGCCGGGGGATGCCCCGTTACGGTATGTGCCCCCGGTGTCCCCCCCCCCCCCCCCCCCCCCCTGGGGCGTGTTCTTTGGACCCACAAACAGAAAATCTTTTCCACGCCCCCAAACTTTCGTATTTCCCCCAATTAAATAAAAAAAAAAAAAACCGGATATATTACTTAGGCCCCCCCCCCCCCTCCCCTCTAATGGGTCGTGTTCTTAGGACTCATAAACAGGATATCATTTCCAACGCACCAAACTTTCGTATTATCCACAGTTAAATAAAAAAAACTAGACTCGGATATTTATAGTTGGCATTTTTTTCTATGAGTAATTCTAAAGAGTCTCCGGGTGGAAGCCCAAATTGGAGGTCGGCACACCCAGCAACTTGAAGTTGCATGATCCTCACGCTGAACAGAAGCTGTGTAAAAACAAAACAAGATAATTTTTTGTGTCTCATTTGTCCCCAATATTCGGTTTGAAACTCTCAACTTCCTCGGGGGGCAGAAACAAAAGCTTAAGAGTAATGGTTTAAATGAGTTTGTAGGTCGTGAGGTCGTATAACATTGAAATATAAGCCGTTTAATCCATCTAATTTCACCAAAATCAATCTGAGAATTGTCATTGAAAATTGAAGATAGCGGGTCCTCACAACGCTAGCCTAGCCGACGTGTAGCTGAAAAATGGAACTGTATGGGAAGCAAAGCTGTTTTTGAAGTTGGGAATTCAATTATTGCCAATATTTCGAAAAGCACGGCCTTTCTTCCTACGGACCTTAAACATAGAAGAAGTTCTGGCACTTTGTGGGGATAAGAGGCAACTGTAAGTAATTAAACTTCTTTACAGATCAATTGACTCTCTATGTAGATTTTTAATAATGCTTGAAAAATACAGCTCAACCATTACACCTTAAATAAATGACCATTCTGATAAGCTAATAAAACCAGGGGAGGATCTAGGCTTCTCATTGAAAACTAGCTTTTACCCTTATTTTTCTCGTTTTGTTTCGCACTCACTTTATCTTCGATTATAACTGTGCATGGATCGATGAAAGGGACTACTTTTGGTAAGTCAAGTAACCAACCGCGCCCTCAATTATTCAAAATTTTACTTTCCTAGAATTACACCACTCTTACAAACCTTTAAGTTCTCAATTTTTCTTCTACTGAATTTAGCTTAATGCTAAACATGTCAACTGTTTTAAAGTATTTTATTCCTCGTTAATAATTCAATGTTTTCTTCTCCCCCCCTCCCCTCTCTCTCTCTAAAATGAAAATGAGTATAATTTACAGAAAACAATGAATTTCCAAAAATCCCTATTAGTTTCATAAACGTTGTACTTATGGTCATAAAAAGCAAACGAATTAAATTAAATCAAATTAAATCTCTTTACTTTGAACCAGACCATTTTCCCCTCCACAATTCACGAGACCCATATGAGGATCTGAATTTCACTAATTGCCAAGTACGGTCATAGTTGGAGTTGTCACCATATCGACTTTTTTTTCAGAAAGCAAACTGAGAGACGAGCAAATGTTTCTGTGAACACCGGTCGGAAATTATTGCTTCATTGCGAGCAGACCATTCGAGCGTACCCTCCTACAATTACATTTTTGAATATCCCTAAAAATTTTTAACGCCCGTCTCAACAAAAAAAATCCACCAGTAGAATCGTGATATGCGATTCTGTCAATGTAATCATGTAAGAATTCAGGAGTAATCGGCTCCTAATGAATTTCAGTGCTTGTCAACAAGTAGCTAGTGAAGGGGGTTGAGACCCCAGCCCCCCCCCCCCCCCCCCCCCCCCCCCCCCCCCCCCCCCACCCCCCCGCCCGGCACAAACCACCCGGAGGGCCGCAGCGGTTTCCTTGGCCGCCCCCCCCCCCCCCCCCCACCCACGCATCCTCTTTTTTTTTTCCCATTTCTTCATATTTCGCTCCACGGTCGTTGACGACCCCCGAAGTCCAGTCCCACCGCAGACTCATGCCATACAAAATAATTTTTTAAAATCCCCTAAAAATTTTTAAACCCCCTCCCAAAAAAAAAAACCCCCCAGTGAAAAGGTGTAAACAGTTCTGTCAAAATTATATTGTTAAAAAACAGGGGCAAACGCGCCCCAAAAAAATTTCGGGCCTTTCAAAAAATCGACAGGGGGGGGGGGGGAGACCCCCCCCCCCCCCCCCCCCCCACTACCTGGATCTGCCACTGAAAACAGTAAAGGGAAACCAATCATGGGTACCTGGGCCGTTTTAACCGCACTCATCTCCCCGGAATTCCCTGAGCATTAGATTCTTCTTCTATGGTAAATTTCCAGGTTGGGGACACTTACACGAATGAACACCGCAAAAGTTTTGGCCAATAATAGCGGCTCTAACACGATGACGATGAGGCTGAAAAGTAATGAAGGGAAAACTTTGACAACCACAAGTTTTCCCAGCCGTTGACGAACAATTAAGCCAATCTGCGACGAACTGCTAATCCCTTCCGATAAAATCTCTTCTACTGGATTTCGACTTGGAATCCACGTGCGTTTGTAAACAGCCCGGGGTATCACATGTTAGTTGTTGTTGTTGTTGTTTTCTATTCTTGTTTGTTGTTGTTGTTGTTGTTGTTGTTTAAGTTTAGATATACTAAAGAAAAGCAAAGAAACCAAGATACAAACAAAACCAAAAAGAAACCTACAGCACTTACTGGCAAAATAGTGAAGGACATAACGAATGTACACTTACACATCTTGTTACATGACAACCACTTACACTAATTACAATACAATAATAAGAAATAATTTAGATCTTAGTAAAAGTACCCTAACATTGTTGTTAACAATGACACGTACGTTTAACTTTTACTGAACTATGACATTATTAAGGCCTCGACACCCTTGATAAGTCCCCGCCGGACAGCACCGTCCCCAAACTCCAGTGACAATCGGTATGATCTTCACTTCACTTCACGAAACTTCCAAACTCGCCTAATTTCTCGTTTTAGGTCTCGGTCGGTTTTCCACCTTCTCTTGTTCCTTTCCTTAACTCTAGCACTGGTATCGAAAGGGCGGACTATGTCTAAATTATCAGGCGCTCAACTGCTTGTCGAGGCAACAATATCTGGTTTGCAAAGTTTGATTTGTTGGTCAGTCTAGATCTTAAAATCCCTCAAAATTTTGACCGCTTGAGATTCCCGAGCACGGGTTGAGGTTTATGGTCATACCATTTTGCCCCTCAGTTTCGAATCAAAATCTCTCACAGAGCTTTCAGCAGTCAATTGCAATTGCCACTTTGTCTTAGCTTGGTCCCATAGACAATACTGCTTTTGGGTCAGCATCTTACATTCTTCTATACGCTTCCTACTATATGACTTACATTCTCCTCTCCCTCTCCACACATAACCTGCATGTCTTTGGGATGTTCTGCATGTCGATGATTGATTTTATAGTCTTCGTTCTTAAAGCTTGGTCCTGAGCAGCAGTAATCAATCCCTCTGTCTCGTTCTTTAACTGACCCCTACTTAACCATCTCCATATGTGATGCTCTTCAGCATCCACTGTGCCCCTTAAAAACTTGCCATATAGGGGCTTCCCTAGTCACCCTCTTTTTCTTTCTGCTCGTACAGCATCCATATCCTTATTAAAATCCTCGCTCCTCTTCAGCACCTTCCCTTGCGCTACTGCTTCTATCACCTTTTCTTTGATGCTATCAACAAAATTACCATGTCCTTCGATTTCCGCCTGCGCTGAGTCTTCATTGCTTTAAAGTCCTCTTCCCCGCTCCTTTCTAATGACGTAAAGCCTATTGTAACTTCTTCCTAGGGGTGATCGATAGATTGTCAGGAGCTTCGGTACGTGGTGTCTTTTTAATTCTGTCCATTTCCTCAAGTTCATTCTTGGTCCAGTCATGATTCCTGTACCTTATCACAACCAAGACCGCCCTTAAGTTGATGGCTGCAATTACATTCCCTCCGTTTAGTTTTGACTTCAGGATCTTCCTGACTCTGCAGTAATATTCTGTCTCTGTGATCCCTTTCACTGCATCTCTGAATGCTTTATATCATCTACTTATCCCGAGATATTTGTAGCCTTCACTGTCCTCATCCAGTGATCTATAAATCTTTCCCTTGGCTCGATAAAGCAATGCTTTCAGTTTGAATGACCCGGGTGTTCCACTTTTCATTATTACGGCTGTATATTTGATTATTATTCTTACTATTATTATTATTATTATTATTATTATTATTATTATTATTATTACTATCATTGTCATTATCACTATCGTTATCGTTATCGTTATCGTCATCGTTATTGTTATCATTATCATTATCATTATCGTTATCGTTATCGTTATCGTTATCGTTTTCGTTATCATTATCGTTATCATTATCTTTGTCGTTATCAATATCGTTATCGTTATCGTTATCGTTTTCGTTATCATTATCGTTATTATTATCTTTGTCATTATCAATATCGTTATCGTTATCGTTATCGTTATCGTTATCGTTATCGTTATCGTTATCATCATCATCATCAATATACCGCTGCCCAGTTAGCTCAATTGGATAGGCGCCGCTCTACAGAGCGGGAAGCCGTTGGTTCAATTCCGGCTTGACCAACACTCGTATAAGGTCTTTAAATAACTGAGGAGAAAATGCTGCCTTTGTAAAGACATCCGCAAACGAGGTTAGACTTTAATTTCTATTCTTCTCGGCCGGAAGATAAACCATAGGCCCTGTCTCACAACCCTTGCACATAAAAATTATGTAGGACGTTAAAGAACCCACACAGTGTTATAAAGTGGTAAAGAGTAGAGAACGTAATCCCCATTATGGTGGTCGATCTCTTATGGGGGTGAGACTCTTACGGGCCTACGTAGTAGCGCCATGCGCTGAAGAGAAGACTTTGTAAGATATCAACACGACAGCCGTAGACAGCTGTTCGCCTCTTTTCTGGCTCGTCAGTACGGTGCAACGAACAGAGAAACTCTGCTGTAAAATGCCCACTCACTGTCTGCAGACTCTGTTTTAGAGCCCTAACATTGAACTCAACTGCACTCACAGAATAACGCCATATCACGTATCCCCGAGAGAGCAAGTGTCACGTTCGCAAAGAAAATGTAGGATGGACAAAACCATCCTTAGATACATGGGCAAAAACATGCAAAATTGAATTGCATATCGGATCCATAAAATTTAAAAGACCTACGGCCCCCAAAATAAGTAATAAATTGACAGTTAAACAGTGCAAAGGACGGCAACCGAATATACCGCAGGATGTAGGATCTAAAGAAGACCTGATCAGCAAACCTGTTGCTGTGACCCTGCCAAGAATTGGCGATCCTAGGTAAATAAATAAATAAATACATTATCATCATCATTATTAATAGCCACCCTGTGGCGTGTTAGGAATGGGTTTATCCTCTCTTGTCTCCAAACGCGTAATGATTTGTTTCATCATGAAATTCTGTTTACGTGCCAAGGTCGCAACCGCGCTCCTCTTATCATCCGGGCAGGCACCGGGCCAGATTTCGGGCAACCGGTCGTGTGGAACTCATAATTTTGCGGTTTTACTTCTGATGATTTTTGCGTTACTGTCAGTGCCTGGTGAGAAGATCCCAATTGGACCAATCACGGGGAAACGTTCCCATAAAATACTGATATTTCGCGCATCCACAAAATAAAGCTCCCGTAAAAATAAAAACTACCTTTTTTGTTTCAGTCAGCGAGTACAAAACATAACGCAATCTGCAATAAGGCATGCACCTACAATTAGCTACTTGAAACTTGAGAATACACAAGCAAAGAGTATAGAATAAAATACTGACGTAGATACTCCTAGTTTTCAGTCTTGGGACACGACCTTTGACGAATGTAACTCTTATCCGTCGTGATGTGTTTCTAGTTCTGTTTCAAAGTAGAAAGTTTTGTATTTATCTGATACCTTTTTAGCAGTGAAGATAGTTTTAAAATAATTACAAGAAGCTCCAGGATTTCGAGTATATGATGATGATGATGATGATGATGATGATGATGAAAAAGTGTTTGAAAACACAGTGTTTGACCTTCACCTACCCTAGCATGTACGAGAGTCACGTTGTTAACTTGAGCATTATGATTCAACTTTTCAGTTGTTTACTGGCTTAATTGTTTACTTTTTTGTGGTCGAAGATAGGATGCAGAGGTCGCTTGGTGAGTGATTTAGGGAACGTTTTAGTACAAAAGCAAGGTCCAAGATGTTTCTGTAGAATCTTGGGTTTTCGCCGATCAGAAGTCCCGGCCCTTGCTTGAAATAAAAAAAGAGACTCTCAGCTTAACAATCTTTCGAATCATAGTGTGCTCTTAGACTTACTGCATTTGAACTGCACTTCACAATGATACAGTTTCTTGCGCAATGGTTTGAAAGGATGGCGAACAAGATGGTGCAAAATCTTACAAAAAGTATCAACAAAGTATCACATTGTCTCTTGTTTGGGTACAAAAAAAAACACTTTTTGCGTTAGCTTTAAGAATTTCGTCATAGCAAGGTCGTGAGCTAATTAACGCCACTCTTGAAAGCACATTTAAAGATGACGTGTTTTTTGCGTAATAGTTTAAAGTGCAGCAAAGGTTACTTGATCGTTACAGGCAAGTTTTACCCTGTTTTCAAACAGTTCGGAGACCTGGCTGGATGTTCAGGTCGTTCATATGAAATTCGACGGATTCTGCTGAAGTCGACTTTCATCGTGGTGTGGTTTCATGTAATTTCCCGCGTAGTTTCCCATTGTCACGGTAAATACAGTGCATACACTTGGTTGCGAAATATTTGCTCTTGTGATGACGAAACAACTCAGTCCATGGAACTGGTTCAGTTTGGCACCAAAAAGTTCTCCAACCGATTCCGCAAATTATGGGAACTCAGATGTAATCTTTTAAAGAGTCCACACATGAAAGAAGTGATTATATCCTGGCAAATTGTCCGGAGACTTGAAAATAAAAAAAATTTCTCCTGGTTGTTACATAGCGTAATCCTTATTAATTTGCATTTCCGGAAAAAGTAATATTAGGAACAATTGGGAAAACTGCTGACGAAGCTATTAACTCAGGAGTCCATGCTCTAGAAGGTTTTGATCTTTTTGTATCGCATTAAACAAACTTGAGAAAGAAACCTCTGGGACCTGGTTAGGTCTGAGAAGTGCGAGACTTGAAGACTGAAATGTATCAACAACACGATTAAGTTTTCTTATTTAAGCTTTGCAGTCTTTGCTTTAGAAAGGACTACTTGTATTCGGACCGATGTATTAAAGTGTAACTATGGCTGACATGAACATGTGTCCATTTAACGACGTTGGAAGTAAGCCGGACGTGACTGACTTGCGATCAGGCGTTCCTTTTCTAGGAGAACATACGAAAAGAAACCCTTTATTGCTTCATCGCAGCGGTTTGTAGCGTAAATTCGTTAACCCTTTCACTGCCAAATGTGGCCAAAGGCAAATTTCAACCAAAGTTCCAAATTTCATTTTCGAAAACGAATGGCATCATGTGAAAGTACAGGAAGGGAGTTTTCATCTGAATGGTCACATCATAGGATTTCGTCCATAGACTCGAAAGTTAGAGTCACCTTACAAAACCCCCTCAAACACTCAGGCAATGAAAGGGTTCATGTTGCCTGCCAACCATTCGGGCAACGTTGATAGACCCTTGAAGAATCGCATCTTGGTTACGTAAACATTTTAAAAAAGAAAGGCATCTGAAGATTCTGCTAAACGTTCGTGACTAAGATTTTTTCTTTTTATAATCTGTTCATTAAATTAACAAAGCGCATAGATTCCGTGACCCTTATCGACCACTAAGTACTAAGAGGGGACTCCCACCGGAAATTCCGTTGCTATGACGGTTCTGCTATGTTTACATTCAGTCAGTTCTGTAACGAGTGGATCTTTCGTTCTAGTTCAAGACTGATGACAATATTCTATCAGGATGAATGGAGGATTGATACAAAATGATTCACTTCTTGGGAGGTCTAATCGTCCACGAAAGAATTACACGCGTGGATTTTCGCGTGGATACTCGCCTCAACCGCGCGTGTGACTTTCAAAAAGAAAACAGCTGTTAGCTAATGGGAAAGCCCACCTTACATTTTACGTCATTTTCATGGACTAACTTCGGCGGTCGTGTTTCTTCCCTGAAAATTAGCTATTCAGACTGTGTATCATAAAAAAAATTATTCAACGATAAGAACGAAAAAGATGAGAGGATATCTGTAAGTTTTTTTTATGGACTCTGTTTCGCATCTAGGTCACAGCGAGTTTGGTGTCATTTTCAGAGAATGAAAATATCGGACCATTCATTCGAATTCTCAATGAATCGATTTACATATTAACTGATTTTTATCATGCACTGGAAGATGAGATGATACACCCAAAAACGGCTAAATCCAGTACTGAAAAAGGACCCAAGGCACTCATGAAGGTTCAGTGCCTTTATGCGCGTGCCGAACAACCAAGATCTGTTTTCTTAACACTGAGCAAGGCATAAGTGTCAGGATCTAGGAGGTCTATCATATTGAGCTACCAAAAAAACGGCTAATTTACCCACGCGGTAACTAGGAGCATCTCGAAATTATTTTTTATTAAGCATGTAAAGCGGTGAAATCTCTGAATTAAAAAAAAATAAAATTCAAATTTAAAAAGAACAAGCGCTGCAAATTTTCATTTTACTTACAAATAGTTACTTTTCTGGGTAAGATCTAGTTCGGTATGATAGCTTTGTAGGTGCGTTCGGAATTTGCATGTGACAGCCATTTTCCGTACTTCACTCACAATTATAGTAACTTTATCAATTATGTTATTGTATAATTCACTGCTATCAATTTTTTGGAGTGACATCAGTAACTGACGGGCCTTTTCCTGAGTCTCACTAAATGTATTGATAGTCAATAAAAACGTTAACTTTTCCATACTGAATCATTTAAAGAAAAAGAGTTTGGCTGAGTTTTCTGTAATTCACTTTTCCCAAAGCGTGCGATGTCATGATCTCTTAAAATGCCTATGCTTGATTTGGATATCATGTCACCCAAACAAATTAATTCGGTGCCTCGGAAACCAATAGTTTGACGAGCGAATTTGCTTTAATTCCTGAGGCGTGCGAATCTTATGATCTCTGATATGGCCCAACTTGTTTTGGATCATCCAAACCAAATGGCAGTTCCTTGACGATGTTTTCACTAATTCCCGTAGCGTGCGAATCTCATGATTCACCTAAAATGGTCAAAGTGAATTTGTATGCCCATGTCATTCAAACAAATAAAACGCTCCTAGAAAATAATAAAAATAATAAAAATTAATGATAATGATGACCGACTGTTTCCGTTGTTTTCCTCCTTCACCTTGCACCTGTCTGCTTGCTCGCGGGTGTGTTCAAGTGGAAACCGCCTCGTGACACGGCCGCTCTTCATTGCGTGCAAAGTTTAGTGCCAAACGTTTACACGGGCGTGTACGTTGGCAGGTCCGCGGGCGTGCACGACTCGTATGAAAAATGAGTTTGATGTTTGTCTCTATGCTTTAGAAAGCTTTGCTAGCCGAGCCATACAGCTGGCAACTACAGCGTGTGCCGCATGTAATAAAAACCAACCATGAAAGGGCCTTAAACTGCAAATTGACTGTCAAAATTTGTAATCCTACAACTAGGTCACATGATCATGAGTAATGCCAGACCAGAAACGCCAATTCGTGAGTCTCTGGAGGTTGCGTGCATAGGAAGATTAATTATCTACTGATCATCTCAGTCGTACTGTGATGAACCGGGGATGAACAACTACCAGTATATGCCGCTACAAGAAACAGAGATGCACAGCTAATCAACTACTCTGCTACTCTGTTCTCAATAACAACCGCGGTTTAAGAGGGTCAATCAAATAAAATTTCAAAGTAGGAGCCCTTATGATTCCGGCTATGGGAAGAGGTGACCAGTCGGCTTTCTTTGAGAGTTTGACGGCTCCACACTGACTTTTTGCATATAGTTAAAACCGATATACACTGTCAAAATGCTGTCAGTTCTGGTCTTGTGAAACTTTGTAGCCCAGTGAGTTGAGTCTGTTTTACTTGTGCGTAAAAGCAGCAGCAGTTGACCGGCTCTGTTTTGAGAGCCCACGATTGACGCGTGACAATTGACCAAGGTATACCTTTAAACCACAATCGATTGTAAGTATCGTATAAACTACTATCTTATAAATAAGCTGTTGGGTTTTAAGTTGAGCCTCGACTTCGCTCTTATTTTTTAAAGACCCTTTACTGAAACCCGCGTTTTAAACGGCGAGAACCAACACGTACTACTAACTCGAACACTGGACGGTCAATGTACTAGTAT